AGACCCATTGATTTGTAGAAATATCCACCACACAATACCACAAAGATATATTTCAAAGTATTCTATCATAGATATACTGTATATCATATCCTGTTCTTTCCCTTTGTTTGCCATTGATATGGCCATACCATTTTGCACCACAGGATCAATGCGCAATGTGAACAGCCACATAGTTTTCCCCGATGTCCGATATCTCAATGGTGACGAGTATACCATGTTTTGCCAATGGATTACGCAGCTTTCCTGCCTGGAAAGGAAGGTTTTATGGAACCTCTCAGGCTAGTAATTGGCTCCTAAACCCGATTGTGATTGGCATATATATATAATTTGTGATATCCTACATCTGACTGGTGTGTACCTTTCTTACCATATATAGTCATTTAACACTATTCAACATGGCTATTGAACATGTCCGTTCATAGTTGATTTACCTGTCAAAAACGGTGATTTCCATAGCTATCTCAGTTTACCGAAAGGTATCATGAATTTTCCCATCAAACTTGCTGTTTTGGCTGTTATATATATATATATACATTATCATATCACGTGTTCTATCGTATATTTGAGACTCACCGCAGTTACAACTGGCCCAGGGGCACTGCAGCGACTCCGCGCTTTGTGGCCTTGCGTAGCAGCCCTGGAGAGTCAGAAAGGGAGACATCCAGGAGGGGTTTGTCGGCAGCTGCTTTGGCACTCCATGATATACCATGGACCCCCTTAAAGATGGAGTGTGGAAAACTATGATAAGGTTTGGATATGTCTCACCATTTTCTGGATATTTTTAGATGTTTGGTTTCGTGGGTTTTATTGATGTGATTCTTGTCTTTCAAGCAAGTGGTTGGCTACCTTGGATCAGACGCAGCCAAGGCTCACAGTCCTGACCCAAATCACTAAGATTAGTGCAATTATAGCTCTTTTTCAGCCAGTTCTAAATGGGATGAAACCACTGCATCTAGTTGGTTATATATCGCTTTAAATGGGGTTACATATATCAATGGACTGGTTTAAGGGAACATATTCACCGGAAACCATCGATGTTCCCATTAAATTACAGGGTTTTCCGAAGTAAAAATTCCCTTAAACCAATCCATTGATACCTACATGACTGGGTGATTTATGTTGGGCAAATGTTGGTAAATATTCCAACTAGTTGTTTATATTATATCATATATATATATCTCTCTCGCTTAAATGGGGTTACATATAAGTCAGTTCTAACTCCTGGTTGGTAAATGGGGTTACATATAAACCACTTCTACTTCCTGGTTGGTGGTGTGGAAACATTTTTCATTTTTCCCTATATATTGATTGGGAATAATAGTCCCAACTGACTTTCAGTTTTTTTTGGAGGGGTAGGCTCAACCGCCAACCAGACTCTGAAAAGAGCCATCCTTTCTCTGTGAGAACCGGGATCATCCCTGACTGAGGGATCAGCGCTAGCGTTTGGTTAAGACAACATTGGTATCTCTTTTGGTGGGGGGGATTGCTTGGGATTTCATGGTGATTTTGGATATTTTTGCTGATTGCTATAGTTTCTTCATAGCTTTCTGAGCAGTTTCTTCGCAGGAGATGGCCCCCACGCCGTCCACGCTCGCAAGACAGGTGGGGAGCCCAGGGAGCCCTGGCCCGACTGCCGGATAGGAAGAAAGGGTACACCCAGTGATGATTGACTGAGCAAACCCTATTTAAGTGTTATGATAGTGTAACTTGTTGGTGGTGACTGGAACCATGGAATTTTATTTTGCCATATATTTGGAATAATAACCCCAACTGACCTTCATATTTTTCAAGAATGTTATATAACACATTATAAAACCACCAACCAGTATTTAAGCGTTATAATAGTGTAATATATATATATATATGGCTATAACCAACTAGTTGGAGTTGTAACCCCATTGCAAGAACTGTTAGTTGGGACATGCTCTGGGGTGAGAATGGATGGCGCTAATTTTAAATATGCGCCATCTTTTTGGACCACTTAGGAGCGATGGGATGTCTATGGCGCCATCTATAGGTTCCCAACACACGTGGTTGAAAACAACATGTTTTCCTCTAGTTTAGTTTAATGTAGTATTAAATTTGCAATGAATTTGGGGTCCATTTTTTTTTTCTGAAAACCATAACTTTGGATTGCGCCATCTATAGGTTACCACTGCGTTCCATTTGTAAAAGGAAAGGGAAAGGAGGAGGGAAAGGAAAAGGAGAAAGGAGAAAGGGAAAGGAAAAAGAAAGGGACAGGGAAAGGAGAACGAGAAAGTTGTAATTGTTGTTTATAATACGTTCCCCCTAATACTAACCCCCCAAATAATAAACACCACAGGTATTTTTTATTATTAGGGGGTAATTATTTTTAGGGTGCTAAGCTTCCCCCTAATAAACTATTTTTTCTAATTCAAAATCGATTAGATTTCCTTTTCAAAACCAATTAACATATTGCCAAAATTCGGATTTCAAAGCTTTCCCCTAATATTAAATTAAAATCCATAGTATATGTTTTTTTTCTATTTCAATATCGATTAGATTTCCTTTTAAACTCTAATTAAAGATTGCCAAAAAATGGATTTCGAAGCTTTCCCCCAATACTAAATTAACAACCCTAATATAAAAAACATTAAAAAACTAGGTTTTTCATGTTTTTTCGATGTCAAAATCGATTAGATGTCCTTCTAAAATCTCATTAAATATTAACATATTGCCAAAAATTGGATTTCGAAGCTTTCCCCTAATATATCCTAATATTAAATTAAATCAAACACATCTATAGAAAAACATGTTTTTCTATTTCAAAATCGATTAGATTTCCTTTTAAAACCAAATTAAATATTAACATATTGCCAAAAATTGAAATTCGATGCTTTCCGTGCTTTCCCCTAATATGAAATTATATTAAATTTAACACCTCAATATAACATGTTTTTTTGTGTTTCGACCTTAAAAGACGGACCCTTATAGAAAACACCGCGGGGAAACCCTGAAATGGTAGCTTCATTTTAAAATCGTTTTTAAAGGGCATCAATTAAAAATCAGATTGGCCAACCTCAAATTTTCCAAAATTGGAGACGGACCCTATAATTTTCATTATTTGGGGGGTTAGTAAGAGGGGAAAGGGATTAAACAGTTTTTCAATCAAAGGAGCAATTTTCGGGTATCCACCAGTTTTGAAGAAACAAAATAATTGCTGATGAGGCCTCAATATCCAAAAGGTCTACATTCACACAACATTTGAGGAGGATGGAACATATGCAGGTGTGTTCAGGCAGGTTGTATGTGCAAGGATCTTCATTCAAGGCAATTCGGCGATATAGAATGCCAACAGATTGCATATCCGGTTCAGAGGTCCAGTTCAGGTGTTGGTTGATGGTTCTAGGATGTTCTAGGTTTATTCCCCAACGATCGCAAAAACAGCTTAGATTCCCATGGATATGTGGTCAATCATCCCATTTTGAACCAGAAATGATGGGACATATTGTATATATAATTATTATTAATTATTTATATATACACACAGGGAACTGTTTATTTGTGCTCATACTCATTACTTCTCATGATAATCTGTGGGCCCCCCTAGATAGCTAAGTTGGCTTGTAACTTGGTTATCTAGGGTTTCCGGTAGGTATATCTCTTGCTACTAGTTTTTTTTCACAACCAAACATCACTGGGGGGTGCAGCACCAAACATCACATGTTGGTAGGTCAGATATTGTTCATATTGATTATATACAGCAATCTATACAGTTGTGGCCCCTAACAGTCATAGATGGAATTTTAAATCCTGCACCTACGGTTATATATTATTATATTAATTCTTAATTAAAACCATCCAAATAACTGTTAGTTGGGCCATAACTGCATGAAATTTTCATAACCAACATGATTCCCCATGAAATATGTTTCATATTATGCAACCTATAGTCATTACAATCTGCAGTTATGACCAACTAACAGTTGTATAATAAATGGGATGCACTAACTCCTTTAACTAGTTGGATATAAATATAAATATTATGTATATATATATATATATCATGAAATAAACCCATGAAAATAACTGTTACTTGGGCCATTGAACATTATAAAGCATGATTAACCATTAAGCACTATTAACCATGATTATCCATTTTGACCATTAATGAACATTATTAATCATTCATTAACCATGATTATCCATTAATTAACCCCCCAAATATGGCCAAAAATATGGTACTAACGTACCTCCATTTTAGGATCCTGGAGATCTCCCATTGATAATATGTAGGTGTATAATGATACTATAATACCATGAACCATTAATTAACCATTGATTAATTGACCATAACTCTTTGGATCCCAAAACGCCGTCAGAGGGCACGACGGCTCCAGGATGCCAACGACGGCACGGTCCAGCTCTCTGCCGACGGAAGCCTCGCCCAAGTCGCCTCTTGGCGGCGACGGAAGGGCGGCGGCTTGACCGGGAGAAAAAAAAGAAACATTGGTCTATAGTTAATGGTTAATCATGGTTTATAAGAGTTAATAATGGTTTATAATGGTTTTTAGCAGTTTATAATGGTTTATAATGGTTTATAATGGTTAATGGCCCAACTCAGAGTTATTTTTATGAGCTTATTTCATAATACCAGCTAGTTATAGGAGTTATACTATTTCCAACTGTGAAGGGAGATAACTATAGGAACTATAGCTCAACTAGGGCCTACAATGGAGATATCTGTTGGATATCTAGAGTTGGAGGGGTAAGCCAAAGATGCCTTGGAATCTGGAAGGCCCTTCATGGCAGGTACAGTTGTAGCCATTTTACAGTTATTACAATGGTGTAAAAGCACTCCTTTTGCATGTTGCGCTGTGATTCAATCATTCAGCCACAATGGATCTGTGGCCGTATCAGGCACAAGGGTTTACATCAAGTGAAAAGAACGTTTGCATTTGCCTGCCATGAGCGTCATGTTGTCATAGAGCACTAACATTGGTGCCGCGGAGCGTTCTGGTCGATTTCCAGGTGAAGTCATGGATTCCTGGCGACCTTCGTTTGCCAGGTGCAATGGTGAGCCTACGACGGCATCTACAAGCACTGCTTCGAGATGGGAAGGCGGTCACTCAGCTTGGGCATGGAGTGCCGCTGACGGTGACGAGGAGCAGTGGGGTGCCGGGGGCGGTGAGTTAGGCTCAGCTAGCCTTGGAGGTGAAGGTCAGAAGGATCCATGGTGGGGTTCACATGTTGCGGATCCCTGGGTGCCCAATGCAAGTAGTGAAAGTGGTAGCGGTAACAGTCAGAAGAAACCTAGTGCCAACTACGATGGATGGCTGGATGATGCACAGATGAGAAATTTCAATGTAGCGCAGGTGGAGCAGACCACTGCGATGTCACATGGGAGATGGTATGGTGAAAATCATGGTAGCAATGCAGCAAACTGGAATGAAGGGTGGTGTAATCATGATGGAGACAAAGGAAAACCTACTGAGAAGCTGGTGGTTCCCGAGTTTGATGGGGAGGGCACTAGCGACCAAGACCTAGGCAAATCTGCAAGGTCTTACATCAGGAAAGTCCAGGTGTGGTTGCGTTGCACCAAGCTTCCAGCACATCAGCGAGCTCTGGCCTTGTACAACTCTTTGGGTGGACGGGCTTGGGTGTACGCTGAGGAGCTGGATGTGGATCGTCTTGCCACTGACAGTGGCGTCTCCTACTTCATGCAGTGGATCCAGACGAGGTTCATGGAGGTCGAGGTGTCCAAGGTTGCCCAGTTGATGTCCGACCTCTTCAAGCGCGGAAAGCGGAAGCCAGAGCAGTCTGTGCGGGACTTCAACGTGGAGTTCGAGCGGCTGGTCTTGCGCTTGGCGGAGATCCAATGCAGTGTTCCGCCTATGATCAAGGCATGGCTGTACCTGGACAAGTTGCGCCTCTCAGAGACGGAGGAGTTGGCCTTGCTGTCCAGCGTGAACAATGACTACGACTGCAGAAAGCTCCAGCATGCTGCGCTTGTCCAAGATAGAACAATCAGGCGCCCGAACCACTGGAGCCCTGATGATGGACGTGGAGGTGGAAAGCGCTGGGGCCGCCAATCGGTCCACATGACCAACAATGAGGAGGGAGCTCTCTCCTCTGAAGATGATGGACAAGGGGGCAACCTCTCTGATGATGGTGAGATTGTGGATGAGGACACCGCCATGGAGCACTACTCAGCGTACATGACGTACCAGGGGGCGAAGGCGAAGTACCGTGAGGTGCTGAAAGGCAGGGGGGTCGACAAGGATGCCATGGACAAGCGCAACCAGGATAGGCTGCGATTGGCAAAGCAACGGAGCTATTGCAGTGCCTGCAAGCGCAGAGGCCATTGGCACAAGGACCCTGAGTGCCCACTGAGACAAAAGGGTGCTACATCGTCTTCGGCCTCGTCTTCTGGTGGTGGTGGCGGTGGTCAGGTGCAATCAGTCAATTTTGTGCACCAGTGCTACATGACTGAGAATGTCCAGGGCGCATCCCATAACCTCCAAGCGGGGCAATTGCTTTCTGCAGGTCAATCCTATGAGACTGAGTATAACCTGGGCGCATCCCTTGGTCTTCAAGAGTGTGGATTGCTTTGCAGTTCTTTGTGCTTTATGACTGAAGAGTGCGAGGCGGAAGGGGGCTTGCCTATCAAGACGGATGGCGCCATTTTGGAGCCTGACAACAAGATGCTGCTGGCCATCGTTGACACGGCCTGCACAAAGACTGTCGCCGGCTACGATTGGTTTGAGCAATATGTGAAAGTAGCTGACGATGCGGGCATCCCGGTCAGCACAGTGGATGAGGCTGAGCACTTCAAGTTTGGTGCCTCCAAGGTTTACAAGTCTCTTTTCGCAGTGAAAGCATGGTTTGCAATTCATGGCAAAGTGTTTGGCGCCAGGGTGTCAATTGTTCCTTGCAATGTACCTCTTTTGTTCAGCAGACCTGTGCTCGGCAGTTTGGGCATGTGCTACGACGTTGCAAAGCAACAAGTTGGGCTCGCAGCTTTGGGCCTCAGTGAACTGCCGCTGCTGACTAGTCCGACCGGACATCCTGCACTTTTGGTCTCTGATTTCCTTAGTGATCCAAAGCTGGCGGAACTGCCGGATTTCTCACCCGAGAAGGTGCACATTCCTGCGGAGGAAGCATACATGAGTGCGAGTGTGGGGGGCTTCAAACCATTGTTTTATCCAAAGAAGCTTTCAAGAGAAATCCAAATCATGCTGGAGTCCAATCACACATTGAGTGGAGCGAGCTTCATGGGTTGGTGGAAAAACGCAAACCAGTCAAGAGACTTTTGGATGGAGACTGAATGTGAGTTCATCAGAGTGCATGTCGTGCCACGGAAACATTTATTTAACCCTTCAGCATGGAACACATCTTTGGTGACACTCAAGCAGCAACTGCTTGATAGCCTGGATGGACATCGTATCACAGAGCATATTTCATGTTTGTCAGAAGGAGTTTTGTCATCCGTTTTGGAAGATGACACATACCAAGAGACCATTGCTCCAAAGCATGTCAACAGTCCATGGATCGGACGCAGTCGTTTTCGCAAGTTCAAAGTTGCGACCGGCGACACCCACGATCTTCCCGGCCTTTTAGACGGCACGAATGCCTGCGTCCGGAACGTCGCCATGGTCCATGAGGAAGGCCGAGCTGACGGAAGAGCTGGAGCGCCGGGGGGTGCCAGTCCATGGCAACTGGTCAGTGCCGGAGCTGCGGTCCATCTTGATCGAGCAGCGGGAGTTGGAGAAGCCTGCAGCCCAGGGCAACCCATTGAAAGGGCTGACCAAGATGTCCCTGCCGGAGTTGGTGAAGGAAGCCGAGCAGCTGCAGCTGACGATGCCTGCCAAGCCCACCAGGGGCCTTTTGATGCGGATGATTCGCGACTCCAAGAGTGCCCCAGGCCAGACGGTCGTGAGTTTTGGGAAGTTCAAAGGTTGGATGTACCACGAGGTTCCTCAGGGGTACTTGCAATGGAGCATGCAGGAGGTGAAAGCCAACCCGAATTCTCACCCAGACTTAGTCAGACTGGCAACCTGGGCCCAAGGAGAGATGGAGCGCCGGCAGAAGGCGTCCAGCAGTGGGATTCCTGTGGCGAAAGACCCGGAGGCGATGGCGGTGGTCCCGCCGCCAAAGATGAAGGAGCTGGCTCGGCAGTCGGAGTCGTCCGACGCCTCTTGGAGCAGGGTCGGAGGCTCTTCCCGAAAGGGGAACACCCGCAAGGGCCCACAGGTGATCAGCGACAGCGACCTGGAGGAGGAGGACGAAGATGCCAACCTCACGATCAAGAAGTTGGAGGATCGCATTGCTGCCCTCAAGAAGCGCAGCAGCAGTTGATGTTGCGTCATGGAGAGCTCTCGCATGGCGGCACATCCAGCGAGGGCAGGGCTTTTGAATGTGCCCAAGGACAATCTGGGCCCAACTATGACATCAAGTATGACGCCATCAACTTGCAAGCTCCGGATGAGCGCATGGTGACGGTGGATGATGCGACGATCGGGCCCAGCAGCAATGGGAGTATGGCACAACACTATGACACAAAGTATAACACCATCACCTTAGACACTCCGGATGAGCGCAAGGTTTTGGTGAATGAGGCGACGATCGGGCTTGGCGATGGTGGCTCTGAGATCAAGTATGACACACTCACCTTGGACACTCCGGCTGAGAACGAGGTGCTTGTGAATGAGGCGACAATCGGGCACGGCAGTGATAGCTCATCGGGGGATGGCCTATGTAGCGGGTCACTGAAGGCAAGGGCAAGAGCTGGCATGCGTCGCCGAAAGATGGCCAACCGGAGCACTACGCAGAAACTGCGGGACGAGGCCGTGAACTTGTGCCACGTCATGATCGCCTGCACCCTGATGGTTGGAAGTTGGGCAAAGGAGCTCATGGAGGACCCACTTTGGGAAGCATGGGCGGTGTTGCAGCCGCGACACCACATGCGCCGTTGTGAGGGTGGCGCAGATTGTTTGGAGATTTTTGCGGGCGAGGCCAGGATTTCGGGCGCCTATGCCCGTCATCGACGAGCAGTGCTACAACCAAGGGACGTGCGCTACAACCATGACTTGCGCCGTCAACAAGATCAAGATGAAGTGGTGGAAGAAGTGATTTCACAGCGACCAAAGCTGGTATGGATGGCACCACCATGTACGTACTGGTGCAAATTTTCTCATTTGAACTACAACCGTCAAGAGCTGAGACGACTCCGCAAGCGGGAAGCCGCACTGGTCAGGTTCACTGGTCGGATTTTTGAACTACAACACAGTCTTGGGGGCATCGCAGTCATTGAGAACCCCAGGAGCAGTGACCTGTGGCGGCATCCTGAACTCCAGCGTTTCTTGGGGCAGGTGGCATGTTTTGCCGATGTGGATCTATGTCAGTTTGGACTGAAGAGCCTTCAAGATGGGCGGCCGCTGCGGAAACCACTTGCTTTGCTGACCAACGACCAGGCCTTTGCCGATGGCATTACTCAAAAGTGTGTGGGAGGTGAACATGAACACCGGCCAATCCAGGGCCGTGATACGGCCTGGACAGCAGTTTATCCAACTGCCTTTGCCAACGCGGTTTTGCGTGAGGCAGAACGAGCATGGAACAATCCCAAAGAGCTCCATGTGCAGTTCCCTACGGACTTGGTTCAAGCCGAGGATGCCAATGATGAGCAGGAGGTTGCGGCTGGTAGCCATGATTGGGAGCAAGAGGCCATTGGAGCTGCAGGAATCTCCTTCAAGGGCAAGGTCAATCCCCAGGTGGGTTCGGTTTTGAAACGTATCCACCAGAATCTTGGGCATCCGCCAAATCGCGACCTTGTCCGACATTTGCGGCTGGGTGGAGCACCCGAGAAGCTCGTTAGAGCAGCAGAGCAGTTGGTCTGTCGCACATGTGAAAGAAGCACGAGGCCTCAATCTTCAAGGGTGGCCCACCCGTGTGTGGCGCTGGACTTCAATGAAGCCATTGCAGCGGATGTCATTTGGTTGGACACTGCCACCAGCCGGAATCATCCGGCACTCAACATTGTCGACATTGCCTCTACCTACCAAGTGGTGGTGCCAGTGAGTAGCACAAAATCTGAGGAATTGGCACGTGCCATGTTGGAGGGGTGGATCAACTGGGCTGGCGCACCAAAACATTTGCTGGTCGACCTTGACTCTGGCTTCAGGGACCAATTCCTCAAGCTCATGGACAGCCGCTCAATCATTGTGCGGTGTGCGGCTGGGCAAGCACATTGGCAAAATGGTGTATGTGAGAGACACGGCGCTACATGGAAGTCAATTTGGAGCAAATTGGTGGACGAGCTCACCGTGGTTGAAGAGGAGTTCGCTGAAGCGGTAGCATGCACTAGTGATGCCAAGAACCAGCTGCGCAACAAGTCTGGATACTCACCTCGTCAGTGGGTCTTTGGAACTCAAATGAAGATGACTGGCGATCTTTTCGATAGCCACCTTGGCCCTGAGGAGTTCGACAATATCACAGCCGATGAGAAAGTCAGCCGCTCACATGCCATACGGCTTGGTGCACGAGCCGCCTTCTTCAGCTGTCAGACCAAGGACGCTTTGCAACGCGCTGTTCAACACAAAACCAGGGTTGAGAAGACCGAGTATGCGGCGGGTGAGCTGGTCTACATCTTCCGTGAACTACGACAGCGGAAGGGCAAGAAAAGCGGCAGTGCGTGGATCGGGCCCGGCACAATCATCGGGCGAGAGGGGCACAACTATTGGGTGGCGAGAGGTGGACGTTGTCTCTTGGCCGCCCCGGAACATGTGAGGGTAGCTCATCATGAGGAGATTTCTGAGATGATCAGACTCAAGACCTCCATTGCCGAGCTGCGCAAGGTGATCGACCAAGCTGATGATGACCTCATAGACCAAGATTATCATGAGGATGAGGTCCAACATGGGCCAGAGCTCCCGGCCGATATGGATTGGGAACGACAGCCGCTTGACCTGGAGGAACAATTGGACATGGAGGTGGATCAGACAAGCGGCCATCTTGGGAAAGCCTTGCGCAGAGAAAGGGAACTTGAGTCACATGTTCGTCGTCGCGAAGCTTTAGACGACGTGCCTCTCACTTTGAAGAAGTCCCGAACAGGTCAACAGGCCTTCATGGTCAAACACGCCATCTCAGAGAAGGGCAAGGAGAAACAACTCGAGAAGGAGTTGCCTTGGCAAATGATTCCTCCTCATGAAAGAGACATGTACCGCCAAGCAGAACAGAAACAATGGGACGAACACGTCCAATTTCAAGCAGTGAGGGCCCTCACCATTGAGGAGAGCAATGAGGTGATCAGCAGAGTCAAGCCAGACCGTATCTTGAACTCACGCTTCATCTACAGGGACAAGAACTATGCCAAGCGGAAAGCGGATGCCAGTGTCGCAGCTAAACCAAAGGCTAGGCTCTGCATTGCCGGCCAGAATGACCCGGACTTGGGCAAAGTGGACATGGTCACGGATGCCCCTACTACGTCGAGGCACTCTATCATCCTGGCGTTGCAGCTGGCTCTTTGCTATGGGTGGCGAGTCTCAGTCGGAGACATCCGTGCAGCTTTCCTGAATGGCATCCCTGCACCACGAGAGCTGTACTTCAGGCAGCCGAAACGGGGCATCCCCGGTCTTCAGCCTGGACAAATTATAGAAGTGTTGAAGGGTGTGTTCGGTTTGAGCACCAGCCCCAAGCTTTGGTGGATGAAACTTTCCGGCGATGTCAAGAAGATGAAAATCACCTTCAACGGGGACACCTTCCACGTGATTCAGAATGTCATTGACCCCTGCGTTTTTCAGTTCATTAAGGACAGAGACTCATCAGTCTGTGGTCTCCTTCTGACCCACGTAGATGACTTGATGTTGATGGCCGCACCTGATTTTGCAAGCCATCTCCAGTCTGAACTCAAGAAGATGTTTCCCATTGAAGATTGGGAGCAAGATCATTTTGAGTATGTGGGCTGCGAGTACAAGTGCACCGCAGAACAAGTGACGATCACTCAGAAAAACTACGTGAGTGGCAGGGTCGAGAAGGTATCAGTTCCAGCTGGGGCCAACGAAACAGACCCAGCTACGCCAGAGCAGGTGGAAGAGAACCGCACCGTTATAGGGTGCCTTTCCTGGCTAGCCAAACAGACCCGGCCAGACATTCAGTTTTCAGTTTGCCAAGCACAACGGAAGCAGCGGAATCCAGATGTTCGAGCGCTGAAGGAGACCAACAAAGTGGTGGCAGCTGCTCTCAGTTTTCCAGAATCTGGTATCACTTTGAGGAAGTTGCCCCATGACCGATTGTGCTTTCTGGCTTACCATGATGCTGCATGGGCCAATGCGAATCCGGACGATGCGGAACCCCATGATGATGCTTGGTTGGGCGGACATCAAGTAGCCTCTCAACTTGGCTCCCTCATTCTGTTGGCAGATACCAAATGCCTAGGAGCTGAAGGAGGCACTTTCAGCATGATTGACTGGAAGAGCAAAGCATCTCACCGTGTGTGCCGCTCTACTTTTGCGGGCGAGACAATGGCCTGCAGTGAAGCGCTTGAGGGAGCGCTCTTTTTGAGGGGGCTCTACATTTCCTTTGTGACTGGAGCCCGTGTTCCTGATAGTCAAGGTGGAGCACACTTTGACTTGCATCTTGTCACTGATTGCCGAAGCCTGTACGACCACATCCACAGAGAAGGAATTCCCCGTGCACCGAGCGAAAAGAGGTTAGCCATAGACCTAGCCGGTCTGAGGCAGGCGCTAATGAAAGAGGCAGAGTATCAATGGCGCCGCGAGAACGGGGAACATTTTCATCCTACTCCTGAGAGGCCTGTCCGACCTCCTCTGCATTGGTTGCCAACGCATGAGCAGTTGGCTGATCTTTTGACGAAACGATTGAAGGCGGATGAATGGTGGAGTAGGATCGAGAACGGCTGGCTGAGTCTTCCACTTAAAACCAATGCACAGGGAAGACAAAAATGCCAGGATTTTAAAGCAGTGTAAAAGCACTCCTTTTGCATGTTGCGCTGTGATTCAATCATTCAGCCACAATGGATCTGTGGCCGTATCAGGCACAAGGGTTTACATCAAGTGAAAAGAACGTTTGCATTTGCCTGCCATGAGCGTCATGTTGTCATAGAGCACTAACAAATGGGATTACAACTTCCACAACTAGTTGGTTATAAATCACCTACATGGGTTTATAGGCAGTTAGAACTGTGAAACAGGCCATAACTGTAAGAAACAAGATGTAACTTAAACTGTGAAGCAGGCTACAACTGTAAGAATCAAGATGTAACTTGTAAACACATGGAGGTTTCCTTTTTTTCATGGGGGCACCCTCAAATCATCGAATCGTCATTTGTTTCACGACTTAGTATTGAAACAACCATTGTAACTTGGGGATCCCCCATTTCCCATCATTGCTACAGGCAGCTATGGGGCCCCGGGGGCGGTTCTGTTCATGGGCGGTTTCGGTTCATGCGGTTCCTTGTAATTCTTGCTTCGGTTCAGTGTGCTTTTACCGGTTTTTTTTCGAAGAGTGGTTGAACAGTAAATTAATAGGGGGTGATTTTCCAGTGGCCATTTTCCATATATTTTATGTTAAATTAACATCACTAGTGGCCACAAATAGCTGTTTATAGCTCAGGCCAACATATTTCTAGTGGCCCCCAAGTGCACTTCAAAACCTTGGGGGCCGTCCTGTCGAAGGAATTTCCGGCTGTTGGCCCTCAGTGGTAGGAACTTTTGGTAGTTAACTTGTACTGGCAACGTTCAAGAGAAACATGGATTTCTAGACTGGGATGGATTGGGGATAGCCGGGATAGCATATTTGTAGATGAATCATGATGAATCTAGGAAGTTGGCTACATATTTGGGCAAATTACGAGGTCACCACGGTGATTTGTTTCAGCCAGGCATTTAAGGTAAGGTACCATGCTGCTGAGACAACTTGTGGCTTGATCCACTAGAATCCGTTCGGGGGGCAGTGATGGCCCTTTACTTTACCAATTATCAATGGTTCTAACATGTTCTAACTGGTTGATTGAAAAATGGGATTATATATATATATATATCTATACAGTGTATATATGTATATATATATTCCATAAATGGGTGGCTTAGTACTTATTTAACTGGTATAACTCGGGCAATAACGAATTGATCATGCCTCTTTGCTCAGCATGGGGCATCCCATGAAACCCCTCCCGAGGAGCCGTGAAGCTTCGCCGGAATGGACCATGGGTGCCGCCAAGTTGGATTTGAATGTGAGAATGCTTGGGCGGATTAGATACCCTCTGGTTATGTCAAAATAGCTATTGAACATGGCCCATTTATAGTGGATTTATCCATTAAAAATGGTGATTTTTCATAGTTATGTAAACGTTTACCAGAGGGTAAATTCCTGAATTGGATTGGTTTATATAATGTCACAATTCATAACTTGGCATCCAAAGTTGTGGATGTACTGCAGTCACTTGACCTAGATAAGATGATGTGGCTCATGTGTTACTTCAAGATGTTGGAACTCGTGTCGCTTTTGGTGAGACTGATATCACTGATATCCTTCACTGCGTCTGGAATCAGATGGGGATTTGACCACATGAATCTCAAGGTTTCAAGCGTCACTCTAAGCGATGTTCATATGCCATTCGGAATGGTCTCAGGCATCATAAATCTAAGCTATGATGACACATCTTGATGTCTATGGGTATATAACAAAATATAACAAACAAATTGCTATCAACTTGCTCATTGAATGCCATTTTTCTGTCTGTCAATCATTTCAGTCGGCCATTTTTGTTGTCAATTAATGACGACCGTTGTGAGGCGACCAACGGGAAGAGAGGCCCTGCGGGCATGGGAAACGGGGAATAGTCAGGAAATGCAAATTTTTGAATGGAAGATCCCCAAGAAATCGTGCTGAAGTGTGAAACGGCAATTGAAGTATTGTATCATATTGTATCCAGCACATAATATATATATATATATTTATAGTTGTTTTTTGATTATTTGCTGGGAGATAAATGATGTTCCATGCACATCATGCACCCTATGATTTTTTTTTTTTCGCCATGGTTTCTGGGGGTTGAAACGGGGGCGTGACCCCAAGGCGAGTTGTTGCGAGACGACGCTTGCGGACCGAGGGAGATGACGTCGTGCCATCGGTGCCATCGGTGCCAGGCGGGACGCCGGGACCGAAAACGGGACCGGTGGGGCACCTCTGGTAAAAATCATTGGTAAATCCCAATACACCATTTGGGATTGTATAAAAGTAGTGTATAAAGCCCTTGTGTCATTTTAAAATATTTTAAATGTCCCAGAATCATCCAGAATCATATATTACCCTCTGGAGAATTTGTTACATAGCTATTGAAAATGACCATAGAAATAGTGGATTTTCCCATTAACCATGGTGATTCTCCGTAGTTATGTTAACTTACCAGAGGGTAGCTTCTGTAAACTAAGATGCAAATGGCCATTTGGATCCATTTAGTTGATAAAAACGTGGTAAAAATGGTGATTTTCCATAGTTTTAAGTTAGTTTACCCGATGATATTAGAATACCTGGGCAATGCAGCGCTAAAGATGAAGCCGATGCTTTGAATATCTTTGAATATTCAAAGTTGAGTGTTCCGTGACCAGAGATCGGAAAGTCGCGCTTTGATGCAATTCGGATGACCGATCACTAGTTGAAGTCGAAGAGTTTTTTTTGCAAGCCAAGCATCGATCTGCGAGATTTGCGAGCAATGTGATGCCCAAATGGGCCATAATGATCCATAATGGGCCCCTCTCTATTTCAATGAATTATGATTACAGTATAATCAGTATAACAATCAGATTTTGGGGTACCCTAGATTAGTATCCCCACGATATTCCTGGTATAGTTGTATGTATAGCCTCAGTTAGTTCAACCACCCATTCCCATGGCCGTTGCGGCCCGTTGTTGCCGCTGAGGTGAGGCTTCGCGGGTGAGGTGAAGATGTTTTTCGGGTGTGATGGGCTGCGGGAAATAAAAAGGTGACTTATGATCACCTGGATCAGTTGAGCTCTGTTCAAAACCACTGTTGCTTGATGATTCTATGATATTCTGGTTGGTGGTTTCCAACATGGTTTATTTTCCATAATATATTGGGAATCATCATCCCAACTGACTTTCATATTTTTTTTCAGAGGGGTAGGTCAACCACCAACCAGATATTATATGAAGATATTTAAATATTTATATATGGGGTTATATATATATATATATGATGTAATATGTATGTATATATATATATATACATATTATATACATATGAACTATATGGGGTTACCCAATAGATCGGGGATTCTCATCCATTGACGTTTCCTACGACGTAACTCGCGAGAGTTTTGTGGGATGATCCCCAACAGTGTGTTGCAGTTTCGGTCAACGGCAGGGACTGAAATTGGCATACATTGGCCTGGGTAAATTATAACATTTATATTACCCATAGGATCCATGTATGGTATATATATATATATACATATGCTAATATTTGGGGTATATTGATGGGATCCATGTTACCATATATAGCAGCACCATGGATCCGTCATGGGTTATAGCCAGTTATAACTGGTGAACTGAAAGCCAGTTGTAGGATTGATTTCATCCCATGGCCATAACTGAGGGCTATAACTGTAGAGTAACTATATATCTGGGTAAATTTCATCACGACCCAACCCTGTTCTCCCAAACCCTGGAAATCCATGGTTTTTACAGGGGAATCGTCCATGCATTTGGGATGTTAGGAGCAATCCGTCGTGCCATGCCGAGTATCTAAGAATTCTAAGAGGGTTTGCCTTCATGATACCAGACAGATGTGCGAGATAGGTAATCTTAAGGTAACTTTCATGACATCTTTTGCACATCTGGGAATCCCAGAATAACATCTGTGCGATATAGGGTGGAAACCAACCAGAGGCACCAGGGACAAAACGATGATGTGGGTCAACTCCACCCGCTGGCGATTTTGGGGACACTATGGATCTATGGTACACCATGGTACACCACATGTTCAGACAGTTCGCTATGCACATGGGTGATGTTCCATGGCCATGTTTGCTTGCCATGTTTACTGTAAGAGATCAGAGGTCATTTGTATCTACAGTCGCATATGTGTCGTGTTTTTCCAAGATGTTTGATTAACGGAAGGTGCTTGCCGAGTAACAGGCGAATCTCTTGAGGATTTCTATCAATGTTGCATCAACTTATCCACTTCTATAGTTAATATCCTATATGATTATCTACTGGTTTACTGTCCCAATTATATACATATATATATATATTATAATATATATATAATATAATTATATATATACTTGATAATTTACCCATCCCATCAATGTTGGTTGCAGCATGTTTCAACCAATAATGATGATGCAGCCTTCGACTCGGTCCTCCACCAGGGACCCTCCACAGCTTAGCGTTTCTTCATCTGACCGTGGCAGACGGAGGACCGGTGCAGTTTTTTTTCCGTTCACCCTTTCTTTCTGTGCGAACAGCGGTTGGTAAATGGGCAAGTTCATTCCCACAAACAGCGGACAATACCACCTCGATCAAACATGTTGAATGGTTTTGTTGTTAAAACACATGTTTTGAAGATTAGTTTGACGTGTGTCCATGAATAAAGCTATGTATATATATATTATTATATTGTATTATATTATATTATATTATGTTTTATTATATTATATTATATTACATTATATTATATTATAATAAAATATATTATATATATATAACTTTGTTGCACTCTTAAACAAGTGGTTTGCTGGAGCTGCAGGGCTGTGTTTGTAGGTTGAAACCGCAACTCCGACTGAAAATAGGGTAACCTAGGTATCCTAAAATCCCATGGTCTATCATCATTTTCCACTAAATGGCCATTTGCAGGGTATCCCATTTTCAGACACACCCAAATCGATGGGAAGTGTATGATGATGATGTGAAATCATGTGAAATCCAAAGTTGAGTTCAGTCGCTTCGGGATTTTTGACGGAATTGTTACCAAGCATATTCTGATGTTTTAAAACCAACCCACCACGATGGTGCATGACAATGCATGACATACAAACCACCTGTCCAAAGTGGGGCCCTGCCAAAATGGTTTCCGTGAACAACCGGTGGATTTATGATGGAAATTCATCACTCCAGTTACAGTTTTGAGGATCTGCTCAGCGACCTCATGTCCCAGTCATGAAGGTACGGATGCATCAGTTGTCCGTTTGAGGATGTTTGAGGATTTGATTTGACAATGCGGAACAAGGAGATATACGTTTGATATCATAAACATCACGAAAAACCATTGAAGGTCATCAACATCCTTGAACAACTCAAACAGGCAGTTGACCCTCTAATGGTTTATCCAAAGGCTCGATTTTTCACTTGCCATGAATTTCCCAATGATCTCGTAGCTGATATGAGCGCAATGTCATCTCAGCGGGGCTGATATGAGGAGATCAGATGCACCAGAGATCCTGAGGACCGGGGATCACAGGGATCTCAAGTCAGGTCGCAAGGATTTGTCCTGTTGATTGCCAAACCAACTTTTAAACTATTGAAAATCACCAATTTTAATAGGTAAATCAACTATAACTGGGTCATTTTCGATAGCCATGTTAAATTACCAGAGGGTAGCCTGAATTCACGCTCTCTTGGGGACGTTGCTTTTTTGTTGTGGACCTATTGATGCAAACTGTATACAAAGGGGAAATGTTGCGGTAATTCGTCGCATTATATAGGTGAGTCGGGGGCAAAATCCTATCTCAAGTTGGGTTTAGGGTGCCCATGGTGCCCCAAAGTTTGTTTCTAATGATGATATCATTTCATGTTTAATAAAATTCCCATCATTCGCTGTCAAAGTGACGCATCCATTTGGAGGTGGATCCTGTCCAAATGGGTGGATCCAAAAAAATCATCCAAAATCAATCAGAATCTTCGAGGAATTTAGGTATTAAAACATATTGAAAGCCTTGGTTTTGGGGACCAGGCGTTGTAAGAAACACAAACCTTTCCGATGCTATCAATCCGAGGTTCAGCCATAGCACGTCTATCCCTGGGATTTTTTGACTCGAAGAAAACCTCAAAACTCGACGGTTTCCTGCAGATTTCCCACTCAAAGTAAAGCAAACAAGTGCCCGGTTACCAATGGTTACCATGGTACATTTATGTCCCTTAACAGTTTTACATATTAAATGGACTTATATACTTATATCTCCTATTACTAAGGTTATATATATAAGTTATATATATATCATGAACTAAACCCATGAACATAAGTGTTAAGGGCCATAAGTGTAGCTACCAAATCGACTCATTCGATCCTTCAGGAGCTTGGAGACGGCGAAAGGTGACAGGCTGGGAAGATGGGGATCAAAAGCCTGGCTTAGCCTCTGGTTATTCAACGGTTAGGTATGGAATTTCACCATCTTTAATAGGTAAATCATCATGGTTTATCATCTATACATGGGCCATGGCTTCAATAGCTATGTTGAATAACCAGAGGGTATATACCAACAACAACAACAACAACAACAACAACAGCAGCAACAGCAACAACAACAACAAAAACAAAAACAACAACCACAACCAAAAAACAAACACATTAGCCTTCCAGTTACCTTTGAGATTAGCATCCAGGTGGATTTTAACCTTATGAATTTGGGTTTGTTACCTATCCTGACATGCAAATGGAAGATCAGGACGCGTTTCTAAACGCTGAACATCTTGGAACTTCCCCTTGAATTTTTCTCGGAAAAATGGGAAAGGTAGGGGGTAGCCAAACTCCAAAACCTTTGTAAGATACCCATCACATCTCACTGATGAAAGATGATCTCCAGGTTTGTGTCCAGCTGACCCATTTGATCCATGGGATGCGGAAGAACATTTTTTCCGAGAATGTGTTGAAAGTTGTTGTGCAAACGAATAGAAAACACGTCGCTTGAACCACCAAGCATGGAATATGAACAGCAATAGAAGTGGATTGTGTCCATCATTGATGCAACCAGCAAGAAAGTTACAGTAGTTCAAGCAGCCAACATCACAGTTTGGAGTTCAACCAGCAAAAGCAACGATGGTGCCAAAAACCAAAAACAGGATCAACCCGAGGAAATTGGCACTCCAGCAATATATAAATGATTATAAACTGGTTGGTGGTTTCAATCATTTGTTATTTTCTATGTCATATAAGGGATGTCATCCTTCCCATTGACATTCATATGTTTCAGGGGGGTAGGTATACCACCAACCAGATAAAATCCATGTAACCCATGTATAATCCTTTATAATCCATATAATCCGTATATATATATATATTATAGATGATGTTCCCATTATAAATCTGGATACATTATAACGACCTCACTGTGATCTCATTGGAATCCATTGTTTTGTTGGCGAATTATCAGAAGATTATCCCTATTATATAATACATATATTATATAGCGCACTATAATCTATACAATGTGAGGCCGCCAAGATAGCTAAGTTGGTTTATAACTCCAATAACTATGGTTTATGGTATTTATAACTATAGTTACTGGGGCTTATAAACCAACTTATAACTGCGGGGGGCACATTGTATAGATCTATATTTATATGATTATGATGATTTACCCAGATGTATGATTATAGTGCGATATAGAAATATATAATCATATTCACCATTATATATAAAGATCATATAATTCACTATAATAATCATATAGTCAGGCGAGTGAATTGTGATGATTTATCCAAATCGTTGAGTCGTTGAGTCGGTGAATCGAAGCCAGGACGTGGGTTCCTTCGGTTCCAGGAGTCACTGGGTCACTGGGACAACGAGGTTCCCTCGTGAAAACAGAGGCATAAAGATGGAGTGAGATATGATAAATGGTTGGTGCTGGTTATTAACCTATGGGATTATACATAAACCATAAAATGGGGTTAGTACTTAGTATTTATTTAACTCTGGGTGGTGGTTTGGAACATGAGTTTTATTTTTTCATTCGGTTGGAATTTTCATAATCCCAACTGACGAACTCATATTTTTCAGAGGGGTATATAGGTATACAGTATACCACAAACCAGTGATACATATTGTATTATCTGTACGTATAGTAACATTATGGAGGAAGATGTGCATACAGATGGAATATCTTCTTGTATGCACTGATATATGTATGCGTCCATGCTTGGTATACTGCTCAATTTCACACTGGATTCACACAAAATAGAAATATAATTATATAGGGTAATAACGCCCATATGTTGGGATATGGGGTCCTTATTGCTAAGTCACCAGAGGGTATGGTGCTTGGCTCTTCCCCATTTTTCGATACATCTACTACCGATACCGATACCGTATACCTTTTACCTTGCCGTGTGCTGGGCCTTGACATTGTGTTTGGGATACCCATTCAGAAGTGGTTTTCCGGGTCAGAGGGATTCAGGTAAGCATGGGACCAGCATTTTTTTCTGCTTCGGATTGATTTGAGATATTTGTGCTTTCATAGTTGTTTGTTTTTGTAAGCCCATTTTGTAAGACTGAAACAACAAGTCACGTTATTACCCTCTGGTAAACTAACATAGCTATTGAAAATCACCATTCTTAATGGGAAAATCCACTATAAATGGCCATTTTCAATAGCTACGTTAAATTACCAGAGGGTAGATTGAGCATTGCTGGGAGCGTTTTTTAGTTTTTGTTTTTTCTTCTCTCAATGAGTCCCTTGGGCGTTTTCTCGTACACATTCGCTGGAGAAAGGAACACTGACTCGTCATGGTTCGCTGGAAAATCGATTGTAAACAAATCATGGCAATAACTCTGTTAACTAACCATGGTTCAAAAAATCTATTGTTCATACATGGTTAGAATGAAGATCCCCTTTTTTAGACATGGATTACCCTCTGGTAAATAAACATAGACCCTGAAAATCACCAATTTTTAATGGAAACTAGTCTTCCAACCCCTATCTGCCAGGGTCTATGTTAATTTACCAGAGGGTATTTTCAGGAACATCAACATCATCAAGTTTCGTGGAATTGGCCATGTGACCGGCGTTGAACATCCCATTTAAGGCTTGCCCCTGGTGCTGCCCCAGTTAAGGTTAGCTCAGTTGCTTGACGGTGCCAACAACTAGGGTTTACGCTTTGTGGTGTATATATATATAATTATATATATAAATATCTATAACTACATATAGTTATATATATATGTAATATATTATATGTCTATGTAATTTTCAGTTCATGGAAGTTTGTTAAAAACCAACTTCTGACCCTTTTGTTTCTGAAGGAGACCAGCAGACAAGCGAAGCGGAACATAGTCTTGATCAGCCCAGGTTCGTCCCACGGTGAACGTCGCTTGGGATGGTCATTTTGGGCATCGATGGCGATGGTTGAATCGTTTATACCTTCTGGTTTCTTCCCATAGCTACAATGTGAGGCCCCCGTTGGATAGCGTTCAGTTGGTGAACATAACTCCAATTTCACTATGGTTTATGGTGCGCAAATAACTATAGTTACTGGGGCTTATAAACCAACTAACATCACTGGGGGGGGCACATTGTATGGAACAGCCAATAGAAATGGATGCTTTAATGGGAACATCCGTAAGATGGAGTAAGATAGGATAAATGGGAGGTACTGGCTATTAACCTATGGGATTATACCTAAACCATTAAATGGGGTTAGTACTTAGTACTTATTTAACTCTGGTTGGTGGTTTGGAACATGAAGTTTATGTTTTCCATATATTGGGAATAATAATCCCAACTGACTTTCATATTTTGTTCAGAGGGGCAGGTATACCACCAACCAGATATATTGTTTTATAGTTTTGTTTGTTTTTTTCCGATAAATGCAAAAAATAACCTAAACATAATCATAACCTGCAGTCACAATTGTTTCTTTTGTGGACTAGCAAGATGGACCATGATTGTTCTTCAAATGTTATTTAATGTTAGTAAAGCAATATATTATCCACCATCCCGAGAAAAAAATGGGGTCCCTGGCAGAATCAAACCTTCAAATGGAGCTGGCTCCTAAAATGGAGGCGTCCTAAAACCATTGTTTTTCAATACTGAAATGGTCATCCATGACTTGGATGATTTGGGGGTTACTCCTATTTTAGAAAACCTTCAAATGGTACTTGCTTAGGCTTATCATTCACTCTAGGTAGCTCGCCCTCACGCAACCAGCGGATTTTGGATGGGAAGTGAACTGAAATGGGATGAAGCGGGATTCGCTCCCATGTTCTACAGGAAAATAGCGTGAGGGTAAGAAGGAGAGGACATGTAACGGGTAACATTTTGGAGTTGGATTGGAGTGCTTGACCTGAACTTAGCGTTTGTCTAACACCTCTAACTCTACTGGTTAACCCTCTTTTCTCCAACATCAAATGGCAACATGGAGTGAGCAGAATATGGCCAGCCAACCGGATTGAAACACCATTGCCAGAGCCGGAGGATGTGTCACAAGTTTGGACACGGTCAATGAAAACAGGGTTGGAAGGTGTTTGTTTCGTCACTGGTCAAAAATTCAGAATATGGGTCGCTGGGTTTTGCCACATGTTTGTTCTGGTTGTGCAGGACTGTTGAAGCTTGAAGAAAGGATTGTATCTCAAGACTTGCAAGCAAAAACACAGAGACCTTTTACAGAACTGAAAGCATTAATGTACTGTATATGTTATATGTGGTTTATGGTTGATGGTATTATATATTTAAAATTTAAAATGCATAGTATATTTTAATACGCAGATCCATTTACATACACATCAATTGATCTCCAAAATCCTCTATACAATTTCAGTTTGTAGGTCACTGAGGGAGCCCCATGATTGGTCTGGGACCCAGAGACCACAGCGACTTGGCAGGGAGAGGAAGCATCGAAAGGAAGGAGACGTTGTCAAACAAGACGCGGTCCAAGCACCGGACAGGTATAGGAAACATCGGAAGGAACAGCACGAAGTCAAACAAGACAAGGTCCAGGAACCTGACAGGGCAGGGAGACATCATAAGGAAAAGGACGATGTCAAAGAAGGCAAGGTTCAGGCACCTGGCAAGGCAAGGAGACATGGGGAGGAAGAGGACGATGTCAAAGAAGACAGAGTCCAGTCACCTGGCAGAGCAAGGAGCATTCTGGAGGAAGAGGACGATGCTAAAGAAGACAAAGTCCAGTCACCTGACAGGGCAAGGAGACATCATGAGGAAGAGGACGATGTAAAAGAAAATAAGGTCCAGGCAACTGGCAGGGCAAGGAGACTTTTGGAGGAAGAGGACGATGTCAAAGAAGACAAGGTCCAGGCACCTGGCAGGGCAAGGAGACATCAGGAGGAAGAGGACGATGCAAAAGAAGACAAAGTCCAGTCACCTGGCAGGGCAAGGAGACATCAGGAGGAAGAGGACGATGCCAAAGAAGACAAAGTCCAGTCAACTGGCAGGGCAAGGAGACTTTTGGAGGAAGAGGACCATGTCAAAGAAGACAAGGTCCAGGCACCTGGCAGGGCAAGGAGACTTTTGGAGGAAGAGGACGATGTCAAGGAAGACAAAGTCCAGGCACCTGGCAGGGCAAGGAGACATCAGGAGGAAGAGGACGATGTCAAAGAAAACACGCTCCAGGCAACTGGCAAGGCAAGGAGACATCAGGAGGAAAAGGACGATGTCAAGCAAGACAAAGTCCAGTCACCTGGCACAGCAAGGGGACTTTGGGAGGAAGAGGATGATGTCAAACAAGACAAGGTCCAGGCAGCTAGCAGGGCAAGGAGACTTGTGGAGGAAGAGGACGATGCCAAAGAAGACAAGGTCCAGGCACCTGGCAAGGCAAGGAGACATCAGGAGGAAGAGGACCATGCCAAAGAAGACAAAGTCCAGTCACCTGGCAGGGCAAGGAGACTTTTGGAGGAAGAGGACAATGTCAAAGAAGACAAGGTCAGGGCACCTGGCAGGGCAAGCAGACATCATGAGGAAAACGACGATGCCGAGCAACAGCAGGAAGAAGAGAAGGATGTCAAGCAAGACAGGGTCCAGGCACCTGGCACGGCGAGGAGACTTTTGGTGGGAGAGGACCATGCCAAGCAAGACAGGGTCCGGTCACCTGACAGGGCAAGGACACATCAGGAAGAAGAGAAGGATGTCCAGGCACCTGGCAGGGCAAGGAGACTTCTGGAGGAAGAGGACGATGTCAAAGAAGACAAGCTTCAGGCACCTGGCAGGGCAAGGAGACATCAGGAGGAAGAGGACGATGTCAAAGAAGCCAAAGTCCAGGCACCTGGCAGGGCAAGGTGACTTTTGGAGGAAGAGGACGATGTCAAGGAAGACAAAGTCCAGGCACCTGGCAGGGCAAGGAGACATCAGGAGGAAGAGGACGATGTCAAAGAAGACAAAGTCCAGTCACCTGGCAGGGCAAGGAGACATCAGGAGGAAGAGGACGATGCAAAAGAAGACAAAGTCCAGTCACCTGGCAGGGCAAGGAGACATCAGGAGGAAGAGGACGATGCCAAAGAAGACAAAGTCCAGGCACCTGGCAGGGCAAGGAGACTTCTGGAGGAAGAGGACGATGTCAAAGAAGACAAGGTCCAGGCACTTGACAGGGCAAGGGGACATAAGGAGGAAGAGGGCGATGTCAAAGAAGACAAGGTCCAGGCACCTGGCAGGGCAAGGAGACTTTTGGAGCAAGAGGACGATGTCAAAGAAGACAAGGTCCAGGCACCTGGAAAGGCAAGGAGACTTTTGGAGGAAGGGGACCATGCCAAAGAAGACAAAGTCCAGTCACCTGGCAGGGCAAGGAGACATCAGGAGGAAGACGACGATGTCAAAGAAGACAAAGTCCAGTCACCTGGCAGGGCAGGGAGGCATCCGGAGGAAGAGGACGATGCCAAAGAAGACAAAGTCCAGTCACCTGGCAGAGCAAGGAGACTTTTGGAGGAAGAGGACGATGCCAAAGAAGACAAAGTCCAGTCACCTGGCAAGGCAAGGAGACATCAGGAGGAAGAGGAGAATGCCAAAGAAGACAAAGTCCAGTCACCTGGCAGAGCAAGGAGACTTTTGGAGGAAGAGGACGATGCCAAAGAAGACAAAGTCCAGGCACCTGGCAGGGCAAGGAGACTTCTGGAGGAAGAGGACGATGTCAAAGAAGCCAAAGTCCAGGCACCTGGCAGGGCAAGGAGACATCAGGAGGAAGAGGACGATGACAAAGAAGACAAAGTCCAGTCACCTGGCAGAGCAAGGAGACATCAGGAGGAAGAGGACGATGCCAAAGAAGACAAAGTCCAGTCACCTGGCAGGGCAAGGAGACATCAGGAGGAAGAGGACGATGCCAAAGAAGACAAAGTCCAGTCACCTGGCAGGGCAAGGAGACATCAGGAGGAAGAGGACGATGCCAAAGAAGACAAAGTCCAGTCACCTGGCAAGGCAAGGAGACATCAGGAGGAAGAGGACGATGCCAAAGAAGACAAAGTCCAGTCACCTGGCAGGGCAAGGAGGCATCAGGAGGAAGAGGATGATGCTGAGCAAGACAGAGTCCGGTCACCTGACAGGGCAAGGAGACTTTTGGAGGAACCGGACAATGCTAAAGAAGACAGAGTCCAGTCACCTGGCAGGGCAAGGAGACTGTTGGAGGAAGAGGACGATGCAAAAGAAGACAAAGTCCAGTCACCTGGCAGGGCAAGGAGACATCAGGAGGAAGAGGACGATGCCAAAGAAGACAAAGTCCAGTCACCTGGCAGGGCAGGGAGACATCAGGAGGAAGAGGACGATGTCAAAGAAGACAAAGTCCAGGCACCTGGCAGGGCAAGGAGACATCAGGAGGAAGAGGACGATGCCAAAGAAGACAAGGTCCAGGCACCTGGCAGGGCAAGGAGACATCAGGAGGAAGAGGACGATGTCAAAGAAGCCAAAGTCCAGGCACCTGGCAAGGAAAGGAGACATCAGGAGGAAGAGGACGATGCCAAAGAAGACAAAGTCCAGTCACCTGGCAGGGCAAGGAGACTGTTGGAGGAAGAGGACGATGCCAAAGAAGACAAAGTCCAGTCACCTGGCAAGGCAAGGAGTCATCAGGAGGAAAAGGACGATGCTAAAGAAGACAAAGTCCAGTCACCTGGCAGGGCAAGGAGACTTCTGGAGGAAGAGGACGATGTCAAAAAAGACAAAGTCCAGGCACCTGGCAAGGCAAGGAGACTTTTGGAGGAGGAGGAAGATGTCAAAGAAGCCACAGTCCAGTCACCTGGCAGGGCAAGGAGACTTCTGGAGGAAGAGGACGATGTCAAAGAAGACAAAGTCCAGTCACCTGGCAGGGCAAGGAGACATCAGGAGGAAGAGGACGATGCCAAAGAAGACAAAGTCCAGTCACCTGGCAGGGCAAGGAGACTTTTGGAGGAAGAGGACGATGCTAAAGAAGACAAAGTCCAGTCACCTGGCAGAGCAAGGAGACTTCTGGAGGAAGAGGACCATGCCAAAGAAGACAAAGTCCAGTCACCTGGCGGGGCAAGGCGACTTCTCCAGGAAGAGGACGATGCAAAAGAAGACAAGGTCCAGGCACCTGGCAGAAGGAGACATCAGGAGGAAGAGGACGATGCCAAAGAAGACAAAGTCCAGTCACCTGGCAGGGCAAGGAGACTTCTGGAGGAAGAGGACGATGTCAAAGAAGACAAGGTCCAGGCACCTGGCAGGGCAAGGAGACATCAGGAGGAAGAGGACGATGCCAAAGAAGACAAAGTCCAGTCACCTGGCAGGGCAAGGAGACTTTTGGAGGAAGAGTGTGATGCCAAAGAAGACAAAGTCCAGGCACCTGGCAGAGCAAGGAGACTTTTGGAGGAAGAGGACCATGCCAAAGAAGACAAAGTCCATTCACCTGGCAGGGCAAGGAGACATCAGGAGGAAGAGGACGATGCAAAAGAAGACAAAGTCCAGTCACCTGGCAGGGCAAGGAGACATCAGGAGGAAGAGGACGATGCCAAAGAAGACAAAGTCCAGTCTCCTGGCAGGGCAAGGAGACATCAGGAGGAAGAGGACGATGTCAAAGAAGACAAGGTCCAGGCACTTGAGAGGGCAAGGGGACATAAGGAGGAAGAGTGCGATGTCAAAGAAGACAAAGTCCAGTCACCTGGCAGGGCAAGGAGACTTCTGGAGGAAGAGGACGATGTCAAAGAAGACAAGGTCCAGGCACCTGGCAGGGCAAGGAGACATCAGGAGGAAGAGGACGATGTCAAAGAAGACAAAGTCCAGGCACCTGGCAGGGCAAGGAGGCTTTTGGAGGAAGAGGACGATGCCAAAGAAGACAAGGTCCAGGCACCTGGCAGGGCAAGGAGACTTTTCCAGGCACCTGACAGGGCAAGGAGGCATCAGGAGGAAGAGGACGATGCCAAAGAAGACAAAGTCCAGTCACCTGGCAGAGCAAGGATACTTTTGGAGGAAGAGGACGATGCCAAAGAAGACAAAGTCCAGTCACCTGGCAGGGCAAGGAGACATCAGGAGGAAGAGGACGATGCCAAACAAGACAAAGTCCAGTCACCAAGGAGACATCAAGAGGTAAAGGACGATGTCAAAGAAGACAAAGTCCAGTCACCTGGCAGGGCAAGGAGACTTCTGGAGGAAGAGGACGATGTCAAAGAAGACAAGGTCCAGGCACCTGGCAGGGCAAGGAGACATCAGGAGGAAGAGGACGATGCCAAAGAAGACAAAGTCCAGGCACCTGGCAGGGCAAGGCGACTTCTCCAGGAAGAGGACGATGCCAAAGAAGACAAAGTCCAGGCACCTGGCAGGGCAAGGAGACTTTTGGAGGAAGAGGACGATGTCAAAGAAGACAAGGTCCATTCACCTGGCAGGGCAAGGAGACATCAGGAGGAAGAGGACGATGTCAAAGAAGACAAGGTCCAGGCACTTGACAGGGCAAGGGGACATAAGGAGGAAGAGGACGATGCCAAAGAAGACAAAGTCCAGGCACCTGGCAGGGCAAGGCGACTTCTCCAGGAAGAGGACGATGCCAAAGAAGACAAAGTCCAGGCACCTGGCAGGGCAAGGCGACTTCTCCAGGCAGAGGACGATGCCAAAGAAGACAAGGTCCAGGCACCTGGCAGGGCAAGGAGACATCAGGAGGAAGAGGAAGTTGCCAAAGAAGACAAAGTCCAGGCACCTGGCAGGGCAAGGCGACTTCTCCAGGAAGAGGACGATGCCAAAGAAGACAAAGTCCAGGCACCTGGCAGGGCAAGGCGACTTCTCCAGGAAGAGGACGATGCCAAAGAAGACAAAGTCCAGGCACCTGGCAGGGCAAGGCGACTTCTCCAGGAAGAGGACGATGCCAAAGAAGACAAAGTCCAGGCACCTGGCAGGGCAAGGAGACTTCTCGAGGAAGAGGACGATGTCAAAGAAGACGAAGTGAGGCCAGCTGGGCGAATGAAGGCTTTAGATGGTTTTCAGGGATCTGCTTGAGGTAATTTGGTTTTGATAATTTCGTGGTGACATTTCAATCAGAATCGGCACCCGAGGACTTCGGCTGTGAAAAGCCACGACCTCCAAACTTCAGGTCGGTTTTTTTTGGGGGGGGGACCTGGGGCCTTGCGAATTGAGATGTGCCTCACAAGTGGCTTCTACCAGTTCATGCTAGTTCACTATCTAATCTGGTTGTAGATGAGATATTGATTTGTTCCTATAGACATGACCTCAAGCTAAGCACCCACAAAAATGGTGCTTTACCAGATAGTTCTGTTTTTTTTATACATCTTTTTATACATTTGTTTATCATAGATTTGGTGGTATTTGAAGATTTTTTTCAGGGTCTGGGTCTAGTATTTTTGTGACAAACCATTACTATACGATTATCATGTATATTACTATACTATTAATATATACTATTAAATCATGTAATATAATTACGAACCATATTTTCTAGTATGTCTCGTATATTATGTTTGAACTGACTTAAACGGGATCTACGGTGTACGGATGTGTACGGAGATGGAAGATGGTGGACCCCCGAATCACAACTCCTTGGTTTACATGATCAATGCAATGTAGACCCATCTCACTATAGCTATAACTAACCTTTGTTAATAACATCTTAACATGTTATCCACAATAAACCATAGTTAAACGATGTAAAACTAGCTATACACGAACTTGACAAAATCCTGGAGGCGCCACTTTGTACCACAAATATATGCGATGTTGGCAGGCTTCTCATGGAGCACAATCTCCATCAAGACATTGTTTTTGTTCTGACCGAAACCGCTTAAACTTTAAACTTTGTTTCAACATGACTCAACCCTTTGCAGGCAAGTCAAATAGCAAGCTGAGTTCGGGCCAAAATGGCGCACTTTTGCCCCACAAAGAAATAGAATATGAACTCCAAGCCGCTTTGGACGGCCAGGGACAGGGGTAGTTGTTTCTCTGGATTTCTCTTGGGGACTGGGTTTTATTTTGACAAAGTGTGCCCCCCGAAGTTATACGTTAGTTTATAAACCCACCTAATTTGCAAACTATATTAATATAGTCATGATATGTTACTCTTGTGTTAAATAATATGATATAGATATATAGTATGATAATGTATCATATAATATAAATTAATATAATATGTTGCAATCTCACTGTAATCTCAACCTAAACCCCACTTAACCCTACATAATCTCATTTCAGAGAAGCCCAGATATGTCTTCCAGCCAGCTTGGTACTATTCAGGAGACCAAGGGAGCGAAACGGGCTGGGTTGCTGTGGCGGATGCGATCGTTCCTGCGAGGTGGGACAACTACCATTCTTAAGTCCACATGTCAACATGGGTTTATCCCATTTATAAATGGCATATAAATGGCTGGTGGTTTGGAACATGAATTTTATGTGTCCAATGGTATAGTCAAGTATAGTCCTTCCCATTGACGAACTCATATTTTTCAAGATGGTTAAAAACCACCAACCAGCATTTATAAATGGCTTTTAACCTATAAGTTTATAAGTATGGTTATTAATCACCACATGCGAGTGGGATGATCCTCCAAGAACTAGGTGAAGACTGGTGAAGGAGATGGCCATCTCCCAGTCAAAAACTCGTGGAACATGGTGATATTAAGAGATTTCCAAAGTCGTGGAGGTACCTCCAAATCATCCAAGTCATGGATGAGCAATAACTTAATATTTTTCAACAAATGGCGACGACTGGGGAATCCCCATTTTAGGAAACCCAAAAAACCGTTCAATGTTGGAAATGACATGCATTTTTTTTGGCTTATGGCTTATTGCACCGCTAATGATCAGCTAAGATCAGTTGGTTTCATGGAAAATTGCGGTATCATCCAACCTGCGCAGCATTGATTTTTCAGGGCGTTTAACCGTCCAGTGAAGAGTGGCTTGAAGATAGGCTTAACGCAACGGGAAAAGCCCTTTTTGAATGGTTTGAATGGGAAATCAGCTTTAACTATTTATAAATTATCTCGATGACTATATTTGTAAATAATTAATGGGCAAGTTTCAATCATCTATATAAGGGGGCTGGATTTTGTATGTTCGGCTTTTTTGGCCACAACTTAGATGGAATACTAATGATAAGAATTTGGAGTCAGCGTTCTTCACTCCTCCCTTTTTTGACCTGCAGGATGGTTGGTTTCCCATCGTGGATTCACAATAGACCTCTGAATCTGTCCTCAAACCTTGAGTTCTGAAATAGAAAAAAAAACGGAAACTCAAGGTCTCGAAAAACGAGGGAACAATTCATGTTGTGTAAGTTTCCGTTGACGTCACAGGTTGCTCCTAACCTATTATAATGAACATATATGATAGTAGTATGGACATGGGACATGTCAATGGAAGCAGCTTTGGAAACGTGTTTTGTTTTGTAGAACAGTCAGTAGCCCGACTTAGAGTTTTGGCGATGCGTACCATCGCTTTTTGCGTGTTTTTTGTTTCCCTATGGATCCATGGCCACTGTCTGAGAAGGTACGGCTAACCCCTAAATCATACCTCAAGCACTTCCTAAGAAGGTACGACTGGATCCAGAGGGTTTGTAGTCTTTTATGGTCATTTGATGGACTTTGCCACTGTCGCTTGTTCTGATTGTACCTGGTTCCTCGATCCATACAGGTGCCTGGAAACCTTGCCAAACTGACGTGGACAGTCGAGTTTTGTAAAAAGATTAGCACAGACAAACATCAGAATGACACAATCAATGGCCATTTGGCTATGGATCAATACCTATACATACCATTTTTAGGGGGATGAACATCCATTTACCAGCTATTTTGATGTTCACCAGGGGGATAGGGTTTTGACCCATCCCCATTTCAGAAACCGATTTATTGGAGGTACCTACCATATAAGGCCTATGTTTTTAGGGGATCTACCACCAAAATATGGCCTTATATGGTACGTACCTCCATTTTAGGTTTCAAAACCACCGATGTGAGTATAGACTTGTAGGTCACTCAAGGAGCCTCTTGGCTTGTCTGGGAGCCTAAAAGGGACAACGCCAGCGACCTGACAGGCGAAGGAAGCATGGAAAGGCAGAGGACGATGTCAGTCGAGACAGCAGCCCCGCACCAGACAGGGAAAGCAAGCAAGCACAGGACATGGACAAAGTCAAGAAGGACAAAGTCCAATCACCTGGCAGGAGAAGAACGCAAGCAAAGGTAGAGGATGATGCAGATAGAGACAGCAGCCCCTCACCTGGCAGGGATAGCAAGCAAGAAAAGAAAACGGACGAAGTCAAGAAAGACAAAGTCCAGTCACCTGGCAGGGAAAGAAAGCAAAGAAAGGCAGAGGACGATGTCAATAGAGACAGCAGCCCCTCACCTGGCAGGGATACCAAGCAAGAACAGGAAAAGCACAAAGTCAAGAAAGACAAAGTCCAATCACCTGGCCGGGAAAGAAAGCAAGCAAAGGCAGAGGACGATGTCAATAGAGACAGCAGCCCCTCACCCGACAGGGAAAGCAAGCAAGCACAGGACATGGACAAAGTCAAGAAAGACAAAGTCCAATCACCTGGCCTGGAGAGAAAGCAAGCAAAGGCAGAGGACGATGTCAATAGAGACAGCAGCCCCTCACCTGGCAGGGATAGCAACCAAGGACAGAAAATGGACGAAGTCAAGAAAGACAAAGTCCAATCACCTGGCAGGGAAAGAAAGCAAAGAAAGGCAGATGGCGATGTCAATAAAGACAGCAGCCCCTCACCTGGCAGGGATACCAAGCAAGAACAGGAAAAGCACAAAGTCAAGAAAAACAAAGTCCCATCACCTGGCAGGGAAAGAAAGCAAGCAAAGGCAGAGGACGATGTCAATAGAGACAGCAGCCCCTCACCTGACAGGGAAAGCAAGCAAGCACAGGACATGGACAAAGTCAAGAAAGACAAAGTCCAATCACCTGGCAGGGAAAGAAAGCAAGCAAAGGCAGAAGACGATGTCAATAGAGACAGCAGCCCCTCACCTGGCAGGGATAGCAACCAAAGACAGAAAATGGACGAAGTCAAGAAAGACAAAGTCCGATCGCCTGGCAGGGAAACAAAGCAAGCAAAGGCACATGACGATGTCAATAGAGACAGCAGCCCCTCACCTGGCAGGGATACCAAGCAAGAACAGGAAAAGCACAAAGTCAAGAAAGACAAAGTCCAATCACCTGGCAGGGAAAGAAAGCAAGCAAAGGCAGAGGACGATGTCAGTCGAGACAGCAGCCCCGCACCAGACAGGGAAAGCAAGCAAGCAAAGGACATGGACAAAGTCAAGAAGGACAAAGTCCAATCACCTGGCAGGAAAAGAACGCAAGCAAAGGTAGAGGATGATGCAGATAGAGACAGCAGCCCCTCACCTGGCAGGGATAGCAACCAAGAAAAGAAAACGGACGAAGTCAAGAAAGACAAAGTCCAATCACCTGGCAGGGAAAGAAAGCAAAGAAAAGCAGATGACGATGTCAATCGAGACAGCAGCCCCTCACCTGGCAGGGATACCAAGCAAGAACAGGAAAAGCACAAAGTCAAGAAAGACAAAGTCCAATCACCTGGCCGGGAAAGAAAGCAAGCAAAGGCAGAGGACGATGTCAATAGAGACAGCAGCCCCTCACCTGACAGGGAAAGCAAGCAAGCACAGGAAAAGCACAAAGTCAAGAAAGACAAAGTCCAATCACCTGGCAGGGAAAGAAAGCAAGCAAAGGCAGAGGGCGATGTCAATAGATACAGCAGCCCCACACCTGACAGGGAAAACAAGCAAGCACAGGACATGGACAAAGTCAAGAAAGACAAAGTCCAATCACCTGGCCTGGAGAGAAAGCAAGCAAAGGCAGAGGACGATGTCAATAGAGACAGCAGCCCCTCACCTGGCAGGGATAGCAAGCAAGAAAAGAAAGCGGACGAAGTCAAGAAAGACAAAGTCCAATCACCTGGCAGGGAAAGAAAGCAAAGAAATGCAGAGGACGATGTCAATAGAGACAGCAGCCCCTCACCTGGCAGGGATACCAAGCAAGAACAGGAAAAGCACAAAGTCAAGAAAGACAAAGTCCAATCACCTGGCCGGGAAAGAAAGCAAGCAAAGGCAGAGGACGATGTCAATAGAGACAGCAGCCCCTCACCCGACAGGGAAAGCAAGCAAGCACAGGACATGGACAAAGTCAAGAAAGACAAAGTCCAATCACCTGGCCTGGAGAGAAAGCAAGCAAAGGCAGAGGACGATGTCAATAGAGACAGCAGCCCCTCACCTGGCAGGGATACCAAGCAAGAACAGGAAAAGCACAAAGTCAAGAAAGACAAAGTCCAATCACCTGGCAGGGAAAGAAAGCAAGCAAAGGCAGAGGACGATGTCAATAGAGACAGCAGCCCCTCACCTGACAGGGAAAGCAAGCAAGCACAGGACATGGACAAAGTCAAGAAAGACAAAGTCCCATCACCTGGCAGGGAAAGAAAGCAAGCAAAGGCAGAGGGCGATGTCAATGGAGACAGCAGCCTCTCACCTGACAGGGAAAGCAAGCAAGCACGGGACATGGACGAAGTCAAGAAAGACAAAGTCCAATCACCTGGCAGGGAAAGAAAGCAAGCAAAGGTAGAGGATGATGCAGATAGAGACAGCAGCCCCTCACCTGACAGGGAAAGCAAGCAAGCACAGGACATGGACAAAGTCAAGAAAGACAAAGTCCAATCACCTGGCAGGGAAAGAAAGCAAGCAAAGGCAGAGGACGATGTCAATAGAGACAGCAGCCCCTCACCTGGCAGGGATAGCAACCAAGGACAGAAAATGGACGAAGTCAAGAAAGACAAAGTCCGATTACCTGGCAGGGAAAGAAAGCAAGCAAAGGCAGAGGACGATGTCAATAGAGACAGCAGCCCCTCACCTGGCAGGGATACCAAGCAAGAACAGGAAAAGCACAAAGTCAAGAAGGACAAAGTCCGATTACCTGGCAGGGAAAGAAAGCAAGCAAAGGCAGAGGGCGATGTCAATAGAGACAGCAGCCCCTCACCTGGCTGGGATACCGAGCAAGAACAGGAAAAGCACAAAGTCAAGAAAGACAAAGTCCAATCACCTGGCAGGGAAAGAAAGCAAGCAAAGGCAGAGGACGATGTCAATAGAGACAGCAGCCCCTCACCTGACAGGGAAAGCAAGCAAGCACAGGACATGGACGAAGTCAAGAAGGACAAAGTCCAATCACCTGGACGGGAAGAAAGCAACAAAGGCAGAGGACGATGTCAATAGAGACAGCAGCCCCTCACCTGGCAGGGATAGCAAGCAAGCAGGAAAAGACAAAGTCAAAGAAAGACAAAGTCCAATCGCCTGGCAGGGAAAGAAAGCAAGCAAAGGCAGAGGACGATGTCAATAGAGACAGCAGCCCCTCACCTGGCTGGGATAGCGACCAAGGACAGAAAAGCACAAAGTCAAGAAAGACAAAGTCCAATCACCTGGCAGGGAAAGAAAGCAAAGCAAGGCAGAGGACGATGTCAATAGAGACAGCAGCCCCTCACCTGACAGGGAAAGCAAGCAAGCACAGGACATGGACAAAGTCAAGAAGGACAAAGTCCAATCACCTGGCAGGGAAAGAAAGCAAGCAAAGGCAGAGGACGATGTCAATAGAGACAGCAGCCCCTCACCTGGCAGGGATAGCAACCAAAGACAGAAAATGGACGAAGTCAAGAAAGACAAAGTCCGATCGCCTGGCAGGGAAAGAAAGCAAGCAAAGGCAGAGGGCGATGTCAATGGAGACAGCAGCCTCTCACCTGACAGGGAAAGCAAGCAAGCACGGGACATGGACGAAGTCAAGAAAGACAAAGTCCAATCACCTGGCAGGGAAAGAAAGCAAGCAAAGGTAGAGGATGATGCAGATAGAGACAGCAGCCCCTCACCTGACAGGGAAAGCAAGCAAGCACAGGACATGGACAAAGTCAAGAAAGACAAAGTCCAATCACCTGGCAGGGAAAGAAAGCAAGCAAAGGCAGAGGACGATGTCAATAGAGACAGCAGCCCCTCACCTGACAGGGAAAGCAAGCAAGGACAGAAAATGGACGAAGTCAAGAAAGACAAAGTCCAATTACCTGGCAGGGAAAGAAAGCAAAGCAAGGCAGAGGACGATGTCAATAGAGACAGCAGCCCCTTACCTGACAGGGAAAGCAAGCAAGCACAGGACATGGACAAAGTCAAGAAGGACAAAGTCCAATCACCTGGCAGGGAAAGAAAGCAAGCAAAGGCAGAGGACGATGTCAATAGAGACAGCAGCCCCTCACCTGACAGGGAAAGCAAGCAAGCACAGGACATGGACGAAGTCAAGAAAGACAAAGTCCGATTACCTGGCAGGGAAAGAAAGCAAGCAAAGGCAGAGGGCGATGTCAATAGAGACAGCAGCCCCTCACCTGACAGGGAAAGCAACCAAAGACAGAAAATGGACGAAGTCAAGAAAGACAAAGTCCGATCACCTGGCAGGGAAAGAAAGCAAGCAAAGGCAGAGGACGATGTCAATAGAGACAGCAGCCCCTCACCTGACAGGGAAAGCAAGCAAGCACAGGACATGGACAAAGTCAAGAAAGACAAAGTCCCATCACCTGGCAGGGAAAGAAAGCAAGCAAAGGCAGAGGGCGATGTCAATAGAGACAGCAGCCTCTCACCTGACAGGGAAAGCAAGCAAGCACGGGACATGGACGAAGTCAAGAAAGACAAAGTCCAATCACCTGGCAGGGAAAGAAAGCAAGCAAAGGTAGAGGATGATGCAGATAGAGACAGCAGCCCCTCACCTGGCAGGGATAGCAACCAAGGACAGAAAATGGACGAAGTCAAGAAAGACAAAGTCCGATTACCTGGCAGGGAAAGAAAGCAAGCAAAGGCAGAGGACGATGTCATTCCAGACAGCAGCTCCTCACCTGGCAGGGATAGCAAGCAAGAGCAGGAAGAGGATGAAGGGAAGAAAGATGACTTAAGGCCAGCTGGGATGGCACATGAATTGTTTTTTTGGGGTAACGAACCAGAAGTTAGGTGAAATTGACCTGGGCCCTACAATCCAAGATATCTAAATTATCTCAGATATCCTGTAATTTCCCAGTGATCATGGGATTGAGCTCCCTAACATTCAATACATGTGATATTTAAGCACCAATGATTTGAATATCAAGGGCCAGGTCTTGTCAGGCTTGTAGGCCATCTCAGTTGGCCAGGTCTTCCTTATATTATTGGAATGGTTTTGGTCTCTTTACTTCATAAATTTCAGATGTTCAGCTAATCTGCCAACAGGCAAAGCACCCAAACATGGGGCACCCCTGCAATCCTATGCTTTATCATCCTCTTGCCCGACATCTAATGCCATTTTCAGTCAAACACCGCACCAGAGACTTTGGCTGGAAAGAGCCCGTTCAATCCGAATCCCCGAGGACACAGGCCAAGAAGAGCCCAGAGGGCCAAGGCCGCCGTTCAGGGGAATCCTATGGATCAACTTGGACTGTTTCTTTGGGAACCCTGCTGTATGCGTCATCCAAAACTGGTAGAACGATCTTAGACTGGCCATGTGAGCACGGATCATGAAGAGGTTTAGTTTAATTACATATGTTTACTATGAATTTTGGCTGATCAAGTTCCAGTTTGGTACAGACCCAGTTGACTTCAGGACACCTCCAGATGTCCGGCAGCTTCGCCCCCAGCGGCTTCACTGACGCAGAGAGGCCAAGCTACAAGGGAATTGGGGTGGATTGATCCAGGCTGATCAATGCTCAGCTCCATCCATGGAGCTTAGTTTTCTGATCTTTTTATTGGAGGATGCCAAGTTTCTACCAGGCCCTGTTGAACCATGGGTTCTGCTTTTCAACTGACAGATGGATGCTTTGGGTTGTGACTGCAAGTTGGGTTGAGGGGACAAACCAAGTTATGATCAGCTGAAAAAGCGGGTCTTTTAGGGGGCCTTCAAGGCAACGGAACAGATTGGGTGTGTCTGAAAATAGTGGATACAACAACAGATAATTTTTAATGGGAAAATAATTCATGATGATCATGGAAGTTTTGAACTGTGCGGTTCTGGGATTATTGAACATTTTTTGTTGCACATCAAATGAACTATACAGATTTGTTGATGTTTTTGATCTGACAAGATATCTAAGATCTGAAAGTTGCCATGTTTAATGGGAAAACCAGTGATTAAAAGAAGTTCCCCATTTCGATAGACACCAATAAATGATATATATATATTAAATTATATATATGTGATTATATATGTATGTATGACTATATATACACCTATTTATTTCATATAGTTGCCACCTGTTCTCACCTGTTCTCTTGATCCTGGTCCCAGAGTTTTCCTCCGTGCACCGTTGTTGCGCTTTCCTCCAACAGATCTTGCAGCGCCATGTTCCTGGAGTACAGTATTCGGTACCCTCTGGTATATTACTCAATGGGAAGGATTATCCTACAATGTGAGGCCCCCGTTCGATAGCTAAGTTGGTGAACATAACTCCAATAACTATGGTTTATGGTACTTATAACTATAGTTACTGGGGCTTATAAACCAACTTATAACCACCAACCACTAGACATAGATAACCAAATGATTTACCCTCCAGTATATTAATAACAACCCTGGCAGATAGGGGTTGGAAGATTCATATCCATTAAAAATTGGGTGATTTTCAGGGTCGAACTGTTGATTTACCAGGGGGTAAACCTTCATGATATCCCCAGCAATGCAATGTGATGCTGCAGTTCGTTAAGTTGGTTTGTAAATGGTTGTCACTATAGCATACTATAGCTCAACTCTGTGGTTGATGTTTATGGTAGATACGGAATATCATGGGGTGAATCTAGGTCAACAAACATACCCTTTTTGGTAATTTAACAGTTCGCTATTGAAAATGGTGATTTAGTTCGCGGATTTCCCATTAAAAATGGTGGCGTTCCATAGTTTTTTGTAGGGTATCTTGGGGGGCAGGAAATGCTCCCTGCTTTGACCTCTCCTCCAGGGACCCTGAACTTACGCTTTGCGTTTCTTCATTTGGCAGTGCTGACAGACGGACCGGGAGGACCGGGGGGATCTGGGCAGATCAAAGTCACTATGCTATCCAGACTATCACGGATTATCACAGTATGCTATCCAGTATTCCATTCATCTGGGTAAATTATAACGACCTCACTGCGACCTCACTGGAATCATGGTTAATAAGGGGAATGATCCCCAAAATGGCCTTAATTCAGGTTAGTGAAATATTATAATTTACCCAGATTCATGCTTACCATGGTGATATCACCGTGTGTTTCTCATCCACTGGATAATCCCCATTGGAGAAAAAAGACACAATTTTTAGCCGGTGGTGAAGAGGTACCAGTCGACCTTGCGACTGGCAACACCTCAATGGGAATAAATTTCAGGATCCAACAGATGAAGCTACCAACCAGATATTGTTGGCCATATTTTCTGGGCATATTCTCTGAAATTTAGGCCTTAAAAAAAGGCCTTATGGAATCGATACCTGGCCAGCATGGCCATTGACCTCATGTTGACTTCGGACAAACACACAGAGACACTAGTTGCTTCAATTCGCCCGCGATTTTCCATATCCAAAAGACAATTCTGTCAAGTTGTTGGTGGCAGTCTTGTTCGATTCTAACTTGGCAATGGGCAATAATTAACCGGTTAGAAGATGAAGTGTGACCAAGCCCCTGTTCAATCCATAGCTTGTTAGTAAGTGAAACCCCGCCAAAATAGTCGTTTTTTTGGATCTAGATCTTATGATTTTCGGGCAAAGCTCGATGATCCCTCAAATTCGTAGAGGAGCAGTGAGAAGTGGTTTACAATCTGGTCTTGGGCCCTTGGTTGGGCTGGTGATAGCCCACCTGAACTTTTCATCACGGGTATTGACCAGTTGAAAACGGCCATGAAGCCACCCAATCAGGTAGGTCATTCAAGCTATATTCACATGGCTTATCATTTTTTTCACTTCTATAACATAATATATATATATATGTATATAATATCATATTACATCATAGTACAATCGTATGTGTATATATATATATATCATATTCGAAAGAAGTTTAGATGTCTTAATATGGAGAGATGAAAAAGCAGTCAGCAGGGAGAAGAGTCAGAAGAGAAAAGATCAGAAGAAAGAAGATGTAGGTGCGCGAAAAGGTAGGAATGTCGCGAAACACTGTGTTTTTTCGTGGTTTTGTGGCTCCGGAGGGTTGAAAAGTAGGCTCGCTAAAGCGGCGGGTGCGGAGACATCTGGGGAGATGAGAGATGAAAAGTTGCACGCCGTTGTGGCGCGAAGCCGATTTCGAAGTGAAAAGGCACAAAACACCTCAGGATCGGACCACTTTTGGAAGTTGAGATGTTGAAAAAGTGCACGGCGTTGTGGCGCGAAGCACATTTGGAAGTAAAATGTGTTAAAAAAAACTGAGGGGTTCGGACCACTTTTGGACGTTGAGATGTTGAAAAAGTGCACGGCGTTGTGGCGCGAAGCACATTTCGAAGTGAAAATGTACAAAACACACCATTCTCGGACCACTTTTGGAAGTTGAGATGTCGAAAAAGTGTACGCCGTTGTGGCGCAAAGCACATTTCCAAGTCAAAACGTACAAAACACTACATGTTCGCGCCACTTTTGGAGGTTCAGATGTCGAAAAAGTGCACGCCGTTGTGGCGCGAAGCACATTTCGAAGTGAAAATGTACAAAGCACCACTAGGGGTTCGGACCACTTTTGGAAGTTCAGATCTCGAAAAAGTGCACGCCGTTGTGGCGCGAAGCACATTTTGAAGTCAACATGTTAAAAGCACTAGGGGTTCGGACCACTTTTGGAGGCTCAGATGTGGCTTCGCTTCGCTTCACTACACTACTACATTACACTACACTACGCTACACTCCACTACATTACACTACACTACACTCCACAACACTAACACTACAACTACACAACTACACTCCACTACACTCCACTACACCCCAGTACACTACACTACACTACATTACACTACGCTACATTACACTACACTACACTACACTACACTCCACAACCCTACAACTACAACTACACTCCACAGATAGATAGACAGATGGATAGAAAGATAGATAGATAGATGGATGGATAGATAGATAGATAGATAGATGGGTAATTAGATGAAAGAGAGAGAGAGATAGATCGATAGATAGATAGATACTTAGAAGATAGATAGGTAGGTAGGTAGATAGTCAGAGAAAGAGAGAGCAAGAGTGGGAGACTTCAAGCACCTTTCGGTCCATCAGTGGGTTCGCTCTGCCATTTTTGCGCCACACCAACTCACCTCTCCTATAGGTTTTCCATTTTTGAAACTTCCGCCACCGCCTTGTGCGGTACTACTGGTATAATAGTATATCTGGCTGAATGAGAATGACCCCACCTTGATGTCAATGGAATGATGCAATTTGGTTTTGGGGAATCATCCCTGCTTCGATGGCCAGCGAATCCCATCCGTGTCATTAATGAAATACCTCCCGGCCATCTTAAAGACAGATCCCATTTCACTGGCCATCTCAGGAACCTAAATTGGAGGTACCTACCATATGTAAGGCCTATATAAGGCCTATGTAAGGGAATATCCCCACAAAATATGGCCTTATATGGTAGTAACGTACCTCCATTTTAGGATCCTGAAATTCCCATTGACCATCCGACATGGGTTTCGTTTTTTCAGAGGCTTATGGAAGTGGTTGAAGTGGGTCATACTTAAGCTAGAAATTCTATAGATCGCAAACCCAAATCCACTTAAATAATCTAAAATATGTCATATTTAAGTGTTGTTTGAACTGAACGTGGTTATTGCCCAAAGCTAAGGCAGCTCCAAGTTATAGGTGAACCATTGCCACACGTATGAATGTTTCCCGCTTACGTAACTGTGGTGTTGGGTATGGGTTGGTCAAAAAAAACAAATTAGATTAGAGTCATGTCATCCGTTTGAATACGTTCACTTGGATGCCAAACCCATTATCTGGTTGGTGGTTTGGAACATGAATTTTATGACTTTGCATTCAGTTGGGAATGTCATCATCCCAACTGACGAACTCATATGTTTCAGAGGGGTAGGTTGAAACCACCATCCAGATACTGTTGGCCATATTTTCTGGGTATATTCTCTGAAATTTAGGCCTTAAACAAAGGCCTTATATATGGTAGGTACCCCAATCATCAACCAATCACCGGTGAATGGTTCCGCGGCGACCCTGCGCTTGGTTTTTGGCGCCGTGCCATGGCGCCGATTTTTCACCTCCACCGTGACCGGCCCGCCAGGTGCTCAGTGGGGGTTGTGAGAAAGCGGTGGGGAGCTGAGACAACAACTGGTTGGTGGTGACTGGAACATTTTTGATGGGTAAATCCACTATTTCTATGGCCATGTTCAATATCAATGGTTATTATATATATATATACACTGATTGTTGGTTTGGAACATGAACTTTATTTTCCCCAATAGATTGGGATGATGATCCAATCTGACGAACTCCATCAGTTTTCAGGGGGAGTAGGTCAACCACCAATTAGACAAGGTGATGAAAACAATGGGGGTTGACATATTGGGATAAAACAAAAATGATTTTTTGCTGGTGGAATCATCAGGGGATTCATTAGGAATATCCTACAGTGTGAGGCCCCCGTTCCATAGATAAGTTGGTGAACATAACTCCAATTTCACTATGGTTTATGGTACTTATAGCTATAGTTACTGGGGCGAATCTAAACCAACTTGGCCACATTGTAATGAACTATGGCCGTGACTAAAGCTGCTAGAAGTTGGTGCCCCCGATTGGTTGTGTTTCTTCGCCACGTGAAAATTCGAGCTGTGGGGTACCACCTCGTACTTAACTATGACTCCTCTCGGTCAACTCACAGGTCTAAGATTTGTCGTGGTGCCCTCTGGTAAACATACAAAAAGCTATTGAAAATTGCCATTTATAGTGGGTTTACCCATGAAACATGATGATTTTCCATGGTTACGTTATTACCAGAGGGTAATAAACTCTTGGAGTTGTTTTTTTCCCCCTGGGGTTTGACCATTCTTCCAGGGTGCTTCATCACTAAAATATGAAGGAATCTATGCACGATCTGGAGAGTAATCTTCGACATTGAAAATTTGAAGATGGGTCTGAAACGACACCAAAGTGGGGCTGTGATGTTCCATAAGACGTCAGATATCTCACCATTTGTTGGTCACAAATGCTTCCATGGTGATCCATTGCAAGTTGGTGCCCTATAGTTAGCTACATTGGTCTATCACTAGGTTCAGAAGGGTTTACACTAGGATAGATTCTAACATATTCTAACTATAGTTCAGTAGCTAACTATAGTTTACTGATATTGCCAGAATCACTATGTTTCACCCACTGAACTATCACTATAGTAACTATAGCGTAAACCCTGGGGGTCCTGGCCGGAATGCTCTTTCTGAACGCACAGAAAGATTTCGGGCGACGGGTCAACATCTCTGGTTCAACAGTGCCGGGGTGAACATTCAAAACATGCCCAAATAGATGGACAACTTAAATCATCATCAAATGAGTCAAATGAGTAGGAATAAAAAAATGACCATACTATTTTCCGACAGCATTTCCCTATGTCATGCTACTATATACTGGCAAATCCTTTTTTCTCTACAGTATACTCAAATAGTGGATATGGAGGGATTTGCTATTTGAGTGTCTCTTTAGCCACTATTTCGGAGCGAGCACTGATACCCTCCAGTGTCCTGCAACGCAGTAAAGGGACATTCCCTGTGGAGGGTTTCTGGCTGGGAAAATCATCGAAGTAGATGCCAGAGAGTATCCAGAAAGCCATGAGACTGACCGGAAGGTATTCAAGCAGTGCTCTTATGAGCTCTGTTTGGGAATAGCACTGCTGACGACTTGGGTAATTTTTGGATCAAAGAAGCGACTTAGATGGCCACCAAAGGCTGGGAGAAGCGTAAACTAGTGGATTGTTTCAAACATTTAGGGGAACAATTAGGGGAATAAAACATATTCCATCATACTCCATCGATATCTAGTGTTTTTCTGTTTTTTAAACCATTCCAACATATTCCATCCATTGGCTCATTTTTTTCATCATGTGTCCCCACTAGATTCAATAACTTGGGGCCTATCCCCACTTTGAGACACACGCAGATCTCCAAACAAAACCTCCAGGCTTGGTTTCCGGATGACCGTTGAGGTTTTGTCATTGTTCATGCTTGAGATTAGGCCTTGAAAACCCACGGTCTGTTGCGGATGATTATGAACAATCTATGACGAACTTACGGACCATCGCAACTTCGCTCGGATCGTTCTGGTACGAATAGTACCCTTTCCCAACTGCTATGCTTTGGCCCTCGGGTGGACAAGGCCGTAACATAAAGTTTATTCAGGGGCCGAATCGCTCTCAAATTCTTGGTGAAGGGCCTATCATTTTGCTGGTCAGCATGAGTGGGTGACAGATGACAGAACTACCCTTTGCTTGCGAAACGAGAAGCATGGGATTTGAGAACTACCCTCTTGTTTCCTCTGGTAATTCAACATAACTATGGAAAATCACCCATAATCACCCTAGAATTTTCATGAATTTTCCCTTGAGCAATGGTGATTTTCCTTCGTTTTTTGTGAACGTTTTTTCCAGGCCGGGTCACCGACCAAGAATTCCCTCGTCCGAGGCCCGAACGCTGAAGTGATGGCCAGCCCCTTTTGCGGGTGGCCTACTGATGGGGACTCGCTGGGTTGCTGGAGGTGCCACAGGATGCCATTGATGGAAAATGCCCTAGAAAATCACTGAAACATCCTACAAGTGGTGAAGCTTTTGATGGGAAATCAGGGGAAAAAATCACCATTCCAGCAAGCCATGTTTGAGAACAGCCCTCCAGGGAAATCCTGTTGCGACCTGAGTGGCTGACCAAATCAAAAATAGATCCTGCTTCGTTTTTGGATGTCTGAAAATGCTGGGTTTGTCCACAGTTCTGGCCCGCAACAATTACTGGTTGGTGCTTTGGAACATTTTTTTCCATAATATATGGGATAATCCTTCCCATTGACTTTCATATTTTTCAAGATGGTTAAAACCACCAACCAGATTATAAGTAAGATAGAACCTCATTTATATAAGTGATATTTTTTCGCCAACCAGTTGTAGGAGTTCGTTCATCCCATGGCCAAAACTGTCATAGGTTACTGTAACTGCAGATATCACCATTTCCCAGGACGGGTTCGCAACATTTTCCCCAGAATCGTACGTTGTAACGTGGCCAATGCCATTGCGGAAGATTGGAAAAAAGACGAGGGGAAGAGAGCCGGCATTGAAACTGAGAGTTTGAGTGTACTTGTGTCATGTGAAAAGAATATACGAACAATTCCTGGTTGGTGGTTTGGAACATTTTGTTATGTTTCCATTTATTGGGAACAATAATCCCAACTGACTTTATATTTTTCAGAGGGGTTGAAACCACCAACCAGTGGAATGATTTTGAACATTCTAGATTCCATCTACCTCAGGAGATGTATATATGATGTACAATCCCTTCCCCGATGGCGTAGTATTGGATCTATTTATTTTGGGGTCCCTTATTTTGGCCAATGGGCACATGAATAATATTCGGAAGAGAGATGAGATTGCATGTGTAGCCACATTAGTGTATAGTTTATTCATGTACTTGTTGGATAGATTGTTTATATGGCATGATTCCTGCATGTTATTTGCTTAGCTATCCATTATCCACGAAAGGTTTCCCTAATACATGTTGGATGTTGATGAGAGGATATCCATCCAACAAACTATTAAACCATGTGTGAACATGATTGCATTCCCACTCAACATTGCTCCACTCCATTACGGTAAATCATACCGAGCCAGTGAGATTTGGGAAGAACACATTGAAAATGGGAGAATCATCCCTTACCCTCTGGTAAACCAACATAGCTACGGAAAATGGCCCATTTATAGATGGTTTACCTATTAAAAATTGTGATTTTCCATAGCTAGGTTAAATAACCAGATGGTAAGCCATGTATTTGATTACCAGAGAGTAAGACGTTGCCGAATTGCATGATGTTTTTGTCTGCCGCGAATATTGATATCAAAGAACGGTGCAAAAGTTTGGGCATGTTTGCCAAAACGGACGGTTTTGTCATGACTTTCCATCATCAACTTTCAATTAATTACATGGCCCTCGTTGTGTTCTGCCAAAATTTGGGTCAGGACAAAAATGGTTCAATGCACACGCCGAGTAGATCTTTGCTTGGGAACCGAAGAGTCACAACCATGGGTAGGAGGCCAAAGTGGAGATTGAGACTACACAAGCCTTCACTCTTTATTCCTGTGTGAAGATTTGTTAAAAAATGTTAAGTCATGGACGAATGCATTTTTATAGCTACAAACGGCGGAAAATGCAGCCCCGATCAAGCCTGTTGAACGCTGTTTTTGTTTTGTCGGGTATCCTTAGAGCATAGTGAAGATTACGTTTTACGTGCATCCATGAAGAACACAAGTGACTGCTGGAGCTTCACGACAGTATTGAAAAAATCCCAAGGGGACATACACACCACCCACAATTTGTGGGGCTGCGATAGGTTTCTGTGTCTTTACGTTGCGGAAACTGTTGGATTTTTGGTGGAAAACAATTCATCTCCAGTTCAGTCGAACGGGTGAAACTAAACCAACAAACATATAAAGTGGGGCCCCCAAACGATAGCTAACTTGGTTTATACATCCAATAGCTATATGCTTAATGATATTCATATAATGGGGTTTACAAACCAACTTATAACTGGGAGGCCCCACGTTGTAAGTGCGGCTGCCCCGAATTGCAGGTCCGGCTGGAGTTCTTGAGCATTGCATTGCCGCCCCTCTCGGCCCCAGCAATAGTTGTGCCAATGTCCTTAAGTCTCCAGTCTTCATGGAGGGAATGATTGAACTGACAATGCGAAGGAACAACACAAAACATATCAGGAAAATAAGATAAAATAAGTATTGAAATGATTTCAAATGGGCAAAACCGTTTCCTGACAGATTAAGAATATGTTTTATCCAAAGGCTCAATTTCACCTGAATTTGCCATGCATTTCCAAACAAATGATCTCATACCCTTTTGTTTAGCAATTTCAGCTCGGGGGGCTCAGGAGATCGGAAGATGCGCCAGAGCTCCTGAGGACGCTTGCAGATCAGGGAGCTGGGTAAATTTCATCACGACCGAACCCTGTTCTCCCTTTACCCTGGAAATCCATTGGTTTTTTTAGGGAGATCATCCCCTTTTATGTCTTTACCTTTCAGGTTAGTGAAATATTATAATTTACCCAGAGGATCCCAGAGGAATGATGATGGATGTGCATTTCACTGAAAGTGATGTTTTTTTTCTCCCTTGGAATGGCGGTAGCGACCGAACGTTGCTGTCACATGTCCAAAATATTCCAAAGTAAATATGATGGGAATTTGTTTAACCGGAAACCCGGGAAACCTATATTTGCTGGTATTTTGACTATGGTTTCCGGTTCAGATTTTCCCAACAAACAAAAAATCCATTGAGTTCGTAAGGCGCTGAGAAAAAGTTTCATGGGTGACTCGTCCGTCCATCGCTTGGGGGTACGAATCCTGGGAAAAAAAAGATGCCGCACCAAAAAATGGGGATTCCAGGGGAATTCACAAAAAAAAAGGTTAGTACTGGCTATTAACATATGGGATTATATATATATATATAATATAAACCATGAAATGGGGTTAGTACTTATATAATACTTATTTAACTCTGGTTGGTGGTTTGGAACCATGGAATTTTATGATTTTCCATTCAGTTGGGAAGTTCATCATCCCAACTGACGAACTCCATCATTTTTCAGAGGGGTAGGTTGAAACCACCAGCCAGAAAACATTCAAATGGAGGAAACACTTTTTTCCCCACCTGCCAGGTGAGGGTTGTTAGATTTTATCAGAGTTGTTCTCCTCCTCCTGCTCCTCCTCCTCCTCCTCCTCCTCCTCGGCTAGCTGTCCTCCTCCTCCTCGTCCTCCTCCTCCTCTAGTTTCTCCTCGACCATGTCTGCATCAACTTCCACCTCCACTTCCGCCTTGCCAACTCTTCGCCAAGCTCTTTGCCAACTCTCTTCGCCAAGCTCTTTGCCAACTTCCCAGCTCAGTGTGCACTGGGACCTCAACCTGCGAGCTGCCCAGCTCAGTGTGCACCGCTGGACCTCAACCTGGGACCTGCCCAGCTCAGTGTGCACCGCTGGACCTCAACCGGGGACCTTCCCAGCTCAGTGTGCACCGCTGGACCTCAACCTGGGACCTGCCCAGCTCAGTGTGCACCGCTGGACCTCAACCTGGGACCTGCCCAGCTCAGTGTGCACCGCTGGACCTCAACGGCCAGATAGAATGCCAGAAGATATACCAGATGGAATGTCAGAAAGAATGCCAGAAGATATGCCAGATAAAATGCCATGAGATATGCCAGATAGAATGCCAGAAGGTATGCCAGATAGAATGCCAGAAGGTATGCCAGAAGATATGCCAGATAGAATGCCAGAAGATATGCCAGATAAAATGCCAGAAGATATGCCAGATAGAATGCCAGAAGATATACCAGATAGAATGCCAGAAGATATGCCAGATAGAATGCCAGAAGGTATGCCAAATAGAATGCCAGATAAAATGTCAGATAGAATGCCACAAAATATGCCAGATAGAATCCCAGAAGATTTGCCAGATAATATGCCAGAAGATATGCCAGATAGAATGTCAGATAGAATGCCAGAAGATTTGCCAGATAGAATGCCAGAAAATATGCCAGAAGATATGCCAGATAGATATGCCAGAAGATATGCCAGAAGATATGCCAGAAGATATGTCAGAATATATGCCAGAAGATATGTCAGATAGAATGCCCGAAGATATGTCAGAATATATGCCAGAAGATATGCCAGATTGAATGCCAGATTGAATGCCAGAAGATATGTCAGATAGAATGCCAGAAGATATGCCAGATAGAATGCCAGAAGATTTGCCAGATAGAATGCCAGAAGATATGCCAGATAGAATGCCAGAAGATTTGCCAGATAGAATGCCAGAAGATATGCCAGATAGAATGCCAGAAGATTTGCCAGATAGAATGCCAGAAGGTATGCCAGAACATATGCCAGAAGATATGCCAGATAGAATGCCAGATAGAATGCCAGAAGATATGTCAGATAGAATGCCAGAAGATTTGCCAGTAAGAAAATGTATAAATGTCATGGTGGGGATCACACGAAGTAAAGTAATTGGTTTCAGACTTGGGTTTTTAAAATCAATCCAGCGAAGTGAAGCTTCAAATAAAAAACAATTTTGGAATCAAAAACAGTTTCCCCAAGAGATGGATCAAACAACACCCACCAGACCCACCACCCGTGTACGAAGTGTTCCTTTCCAGGAGCGAGATGCCAGAAGATGGCCATAGGTGGGAAAAATGGTGATCAGAAGCCTAGTACTTTGAGGTTTGAAAGAAAATTTAGTTTGAAAACTTCCAGTTGCCTTTGAGCCATGTCACCAGGTTGATTTTCATGTACCCTTAATTTCGGATTGGTTATTGATTGTTATTGAAGATGGACCCCTCAAAGCTACTGCGTCGTGTGTGCTACGTGTCAACGGCTGAAAGCCGCAATTCACCAAGCTACCTATTTCACACATATATGTATATATATATATGCGAAAAGCGTTCCTAAACCCCAAGCAATAGGTTTAAAGAAACATATTGTATAGGTTTCGACAAACATGTCCACCACACTATGATCCGTGGAAATACATTGTTTATACCATCCTGGAAACACTTTTCTGTCCAAGTATTCAAACCAATGAAACCTTGTAACATGGGTCCTAAAATGGTGATTGGTTGATGGATATTTGTTGGGGGACTATACATGTTTACTGGGGGATTGCCATATTGTTCAATCTGGGCAAGCCATCCCTCAACAACTATTCTTGGGGATGAACGAGGGTGTCTCATTTGGGTTTTGGGAATTTAGATGAATTTAGGTAAGAAACATATGAAGTGGGATAAAGTTGGATGAAGTGGGAAAAAGTCCTAGACTACAATAGATAATAGGAACAACTAGATCCAATGCGGTGGACCTTTCATCTTGAAGTTAATTGAGCAGAACTTAGATTGGTCAGGAGTGTGGAGTCAGGCGTGGCACTATGGCCCACTCTGCACTAAGATACACAAGTCAACAGATGAGTAGGGAAGCGAAGGTCTAGTGAAGTATGGTACACTGAGGGTATTTTTGCCAGTGTACAATTCAGGGAGGGACATGTTGGAGTCATAAACTAAAATACTAACGGCGTAACAAGTATGCAACAAGTGGATCCATCGATCCATTCATATCAGTGCTGAAAACAAGCATCCAAACATATGGAGGTGTCCAATCCATGGGGGTACCCCAAATCATCCAAGATTGGATCATTTTACTACTTAAACCCGGGCTTTTTTGTGGGATCCCCCATTTTAATCATGTATATTTAGGTCACTTCACTTGCAAACGGCACGCCAGTGACCTGGCAGGGAAAGAAGAAAGCATGGAAAGGAAGAGGAGGATGTCAAAAAAGACGAAGTAAGGCCTCTTAGGGCATATTGGTCAAAGCTGGATGTTCTGATGTTCATGAAAGGTGTTCATATAAATGTATATAGATTTTGCAATACATGGATTATGTATAAAACTGCATACTTAGACATATCAACAGAGTATGTACTGCAGGATTTAAGGATTCAGTTTGCCCTTCCATTCCTCAACAGGATATGTGCCATGGTCAAAACATGATTGGTTTGAACAGTTTTGGGATGGAAAAATCACCCCATATACTGAAATGTAATTAAAAAGATTTGTATACCATGATTTCTATACCCATATTGTATGGTTTTAACCATGGCACATATAATATTCTACATCCCAGAATTTATTTTAAAACTTTCAACTGTTGACGGCTATCGTATTCCAATAAAATCAATGTTAGCCTGCGGCATTTTAACATATATATATATATATACATATATTATACATATATATATATACACATAACAATAATTATATATATATATATATATTCATTTGTATATATATACATATATATTCATATGTGTATATATATATACATGCACAGACATATATATATATGTTAAATACATACATAAATATATCCATTCATATATATATATATATGTACGCATATTTATACATACATAGACACACACATATATATATACTATAATATATATATGTACAACTCAATATTATGTACATATACATATATACATATAAGTATATGTGAATTTGTATATATATATATATTAACATATATACTATCATGTATTTACTTCTGTGTATATATATATTTTGAACATGGCCATGACACCATCAAATGGCCAATAATGGCCATTTAGTCTGTTGATTTACTCAGTAAAAATGGCGAGGGCAACAGAGCTAACTGTTAGTCCACGACAGCGTCAGCAAATATGTCATAGAGAATGACATCTCAAATGTCGCTTGGCGGGGGTTCACTCCAAGAAAGTCATGTTGTTTAGTTGTTTAGGTATTTTTTTGCATTGATTTCCCCCATGACCCCCAGAACAAAAGTCAATACACATTCGAGAAGCCCATGTGTATTATGCATCGATGGTGTGTGAGTTTGTGCATATGGTAATTGTCTTCTCTATTTCTGTTGCGGGCTGAAGATGAAGCATTGGCCACCTAAAACACGTGTTCTTTTGAGGCTTGAACCACCATCCAAGCATGCCACAATTTGAAAGGTTTGGTTAGACCCTTCACATCATGGATTTGGGTTCCTTTCAAACCCACCAGAATTTGATGAAAATCAGCTTGGGGGAGAAAGAGATCGTCCATGTTGATTGGTTGTTGTTTGCCAACAAGGCATGATGATCTCCTCTTTGGGAACTTGCGAACTTCGGGATGCAACTAGCATCCAGAAATCATAGTCCCTGGTTGTCCCCAAGTGGTTTCTAGATCGGTTCAACCAAAGTATAGAGACATTCTGACGCAGGCAGAAGCAAAGCAAGTGGAAGTTCTCAGAAAGGACCAAGAGCCAAGAGACGGATGATAGGTCAGTAGCTGGATGATGTTGGATGTGGTACTTTCATCGCTAGGTGATACAAGGTGGTGCCTCAGTTTGTTCGTTCAGTTGCTTTACAACTAAGTTAACTAGTGTGTGTATATATATATATGGCTAGTGTACCTATGATCAGATAGGGCTTATAAATTGCTTATAAACCAATTTCCGATTGGCGGGGCCTGACTTTGTAGGATAATGCTTCTTTTTTCATCATGTCTTTTCTGAATGCACAGGGCACACCATGGATGGGCCCTTGGATCCCTTGGCTTTCCCCAGAACCCTCCGTTGAAACCTTAGTTACTGGGACATGGTACCCTTTCGAATCAATCTATACACAATATATACAAGATATGGGTATTAGTTGTATAATCGTAATAATGCATGCAATAATTTATTAAAAGAAAAAACCATATGAAGTGAGATATATATATAATACAACATAACATAACATAATATAATATAATATAATATACTGTTGTATATATATATATATAGATATATACATATATTCATGCTATTTATGTTTTGCCATATCAAACCGGGCCCCGGGCCGGCCCATCCGTGGCGCTGGAAAAGGGTGATGTTCGGGAAACTACCCTCTGGCTATTTAACAATGGTGAATAATGGTTCATAATGGAGATATGCTGGAGATATGATGGTTAATAGTGGTTAATAATGTTAATCATGGTTGATAGTGGAGGATAATGGTTGATAAAGGTTCATAATGGTTAATAATGGCTAATAATGAATAATGTTCCAACTAACAGTTATTTTTTATAGGATACCCTCTGGTAAACGTTTACATAACTATGGAACATCACAATTTGTACTAGGTAAATCAACTATAGATGTGTCATTTTCAATAGCTATGTTAGTCTACCAGAGGGTAACATAGCTGTGGAATATGGACCATTTATAGAGGATTTATGATGATTTACCTATCCAAAATGGTGATTGTCCATAGCTACGTTAAATAACCACACGGTGTATGTATATATATATATATATATAATTAACATTATATATATACAAGGTGGTGCCCCTCCAGTTATGTTTGTTGGTTTAAAAACCATAGTAACTAGTTCGATATATCTACTATAAACCATAGTTAACCAAGTTATGTGCGTCACATTAGCTAACAAACTGGAGCACCACCTTGTACATTATCTTTATATTGTAATATGCATCCAGTCATCCCAAGGTAACATGTCAATTTTGCTCAAAACATCTTGGGAAATTTGTCGAAAAAAACATGTCAATTAGGGCCCTTCGCAAATAAAAAGGGCTGCAGGGTCTTCCACTATCAGAGGTGTTTCGGCTTTGTGTTGTTGCACTGGCTGATGTGTATTTCCTGATTTGTATTATATATGTGTGTTTTATGTTTACTTTGCGCACATGCTTTGATCTTGCTGTATATATATATATATATATTTATGTTATATTGACATAATCCTCCACTGGTTGGTGTTTTTCGGGTTCTCACATTCCCTTCCCCAAAACCGGAATCATGATCCAACAACGGAAAAATCAGATCAAAAACAACGAGGTAAGCCTTGCAGGACATGCTTGGATCATCCCCCAGGTTAGGACAAATGTGGAGAAGTTTCTCCCACAACTCAAGGACGACCCGCAAAATCATGGCACCAGTTCAAGATCACATCACAGGCGTTCCCTGCGACTAACATGGCAGTTTCAAGAGATCTTCACAGGAGTACATTCATTTGTTCCTTTGGTTCTTCCTGGTTAACATTCAGAGAAGTGCAATGGTGGAGTCAGTAAAACACCAAAGTCACTTGTTGAACCTATAGAAAAAAAACAAACAAAACATGTGGAAGGTTCATCATTCCCGCAATATGGAGGTTTCCAATCCATGGGGGTACCCCAAGTTATCATCCATTTTAGATTGGGATTTTTCATGAAATAAACCATCCAGCTATTAGGGGTACCCCCATACAGGATGGTGCCCCCCCAGTTCTGTTTGTTGGTTTATAACCCCATCAACATCCATGAAAACTAGTTCGTTACCAGAGCTATTTCAATCACTTTTCTGTTCGGAAACTGAACGCGACCTCGACTGGGGGCCCCATCCTGTATGTTCCTATTTTTTCATAATTTTCCATACATAATGAAGCTGGTCTCCAGGCCCGGCTCTGCAAGCCGCTCTGGCCAGAGGTGGCCTCGTTGGGGGTTTGTCAGGAGGGTTGGCCATATAAGATGGAATATCACCGGCCACATGGTTTTTTCGTCCACCAAACATGGTTTTGTAAGCAGAAATATCATGCAACATCGACTATATTAACTGTATGGTGCCAAAGAAAAGCATGGATTGAACCAAGGATATTGGAATGATAGCTCAGGCATAATGTTTTTGTTGAACCAACCAAAAGTTGGGTCCTTGACAAGCCATATTTTTTAAAATGTGTGCTTTTACCATCTTTTACCATCAAATAATTATGAGGATTCACATCAGATTTCTGGCAAATTGTGTATATTTAGCTGCTTATTGGAAAGCATACCCTCTGGTAATTTGTTACCATAACTATGGAAAATCACCATTGAAATAGTGATTTTTCCCATGAAAAATGTGATTTCCATAGCTATGTAAACGTTTACCAGAGGGTAACTCTACTAAAACACGAATGTGTTTTTTGTGAGGATTAAGCCGTGGTGCCCAGCCGGTAACATCACAACCATTTCATGTGAACCCGACTCAACACAAGCATTTCCTGGTGGTTACCGGTATGTATTCAGACCTGCTTCACTTCACCTACGTACCACAAGAATAATCAAGTGGACCTGTTCGATGTATGAATGAAACATGAATATGATGAATACAAATAGATGTAGTTGTTTTCAAAAAAAACTATCTGTGATTTATTTGTCCGTGCTATTTAGTGATATTCCCCGCCCCCAGATAGAGTTCTCATACTCATCACATCCGGTCTCTTGAGAAGGAGCCCCCGGAAGCCAGAAGAGGATGACCACAGGCCGGAAATGTTGGAAACGGCAGGCTTTGGGTCATCTTGTTGATAACTCCATGGCAGTAATTGTTGTGTTAAGCCAACAGGCCCAACAATCCCCAAAATTACTATTTTTGTGGGTGAAATGGGTGAAATCCTCTAAACATGGAGGTTGATGATTGGGTTTCCGGCATTTAGATCATGTGATCAAAGCAACATGTGACCATGTGATTCGATCCTGGTAGAGTTGGTCGTGTTTGGCTTTGCCCGCTTTCAGATGATTTCAGAATATGTCAAATGATTTGATTCTTGGCACTTGGGATTCTTGGGCCCAAAGTTGATCCCATTTTGATCGCAACTCGAATCTCTCTCTGTAGACAGTCCCAAGGAAGGCCGCCATTTCAGGGCCGCTTTGAAGTGATGTGTCGGGTGTTGCGAATCATGCGATTTTGTTGGTCAATGCTTTGGATTGCAGTGTGTTTTTTGTTTTTGAGAGTGTACCCAATCCCAGATGCTCCATGTCTGGAATATTTACTTACATTTGGGTGATTTTTAGGGCAAATGTCCTTAAATATTCCATACATGGAGCATCTGGGAAATGTAAAGTGCGAGTTCATCAGTTAATTCGTCGTTTTTGGTGGTTCTGAGTGATGATGTTTTTTTTTTACCAACTGGAGGACTTCGGCCAAGAGCCAAGAACACCAAAGATCAGGACGGTTTCCTCGCTCTTGGGGCCGATAGAGCTGCAGGATGCTGCAGGCATTGCGAAGCCTTTCTTTTTACGATCCAGGAATCCGAAGTGGTTCTTACAATGTGAGGCCCCCGTTGGAGAGCGTTAAGTTGGCAAACATAACTCCAATTTCACTATGGTTTATGGTACGCAAATAACGAACCAGTTACTGGGGCGAATCTAAACCAACGTTCACATCACTGGGGGAGGCCACATTGCAGGATGGTTGGTTTTCAAGGAAACTACTGGTCTTACATGAATATCAGGTGGGAAAGCCAATGCCATAAACCTACCATGACCAATGACTGGGGATAGCACCCATAAAAATGGTGATTGTTGGGAATTGTTTATTGTTGGGTTTACCGGTTTACTTAGACCACTTGTATTTCTTTGTCTACACACAGAATCAATAGCAGGGCTATAGTGGAGGGATTGCAAGGTGACACACTAATTACTTGTGGCCCTAACTATGCCAAAAAATGAGCAGAGGCTATGGCGTGACACGTTTTTTCCGTATACATGTTACCGTATATTTTATCTTGCCATCTGCTGCCTCCACATTAATGTGTGATAGATATGTGTGGACGGGGTCAGATGGAGGTAAAAATGCAGCCAGCTTTCCCCTTCGGTTGACTTGGTTGGTGATTAGATTCATTGCGTTTGGTTCTGCCCATGTGTTTTTTCAGACTGAAACAACAACTCCTGTCACCAAACCAGATTGGATTGAGCACCCGGAGTGATTTCTAGCATTTGCTGTTCCTTATACAATATTATACAATATTAATATGGGACAATCTTATACCATTTTAATATGGGATAACAACCTATAAATGGATGATTTTCCAGGATTTCATTTTTCGGAAGCCTTACTTGTAAATCGGCGCAGAACACTGGCGCTTTTTTTTTCGTTTCGCGGTGAAATCCTAATGGCGAACTCCGCGAAGAGGGAAACCGGGAAACCTGCCATGTGGTGTTTTTTGGGAAACATCCTTACCCATAGGATCCATGGTGCTGGTATATATATGCTAACATAAAGGGGGTATGTTGATGGTAAATGTTACCATATATATCCATATATAGCATATGGGTTAGTGATCAACGTGGCAAAGGTCACAGAGTCCCAAGCCCGGACAGCGTGAAGGAGACAAGACATCAAGCGAAGCGAAAGATCGCACAGAGAGGTCGTGGAAATCCCATGGATTGATCAATGCCAAATTTATCCTGGTGCTTCAACAACTTCTTTCTTTGTTTCTTCCACTTATGGCTTATTTCACAGTTATAACATGTTATAAAACGATGCCCAAAAACATTTAAGTGATATATAACTGGCTTTAAAAAAACATATTTAAAGTGATATAATGTGCTATATATATATATAACTTATTTGATATAACCACCATTAACCAACTAGTTGTAGGAGTTCTGGCTCATCCCATGGCCATGGCCGTGGCTACAACGGGCGAAAAAAACCTGTCGAAGGGGTTACTACACGGTGGGGCCCCCAAGATAGCAAAGTTATACCTTTGAATGACTTGGACAACTATGGTTTGTGGCTGTTTATGGTAGATATAAACTGGTTGGTGGTTTCAAACATGAATTTTATTTTCCATAATATATGGGACAATCCTTCCCATTGACTAATATTTTTCAGAGGGGTTGAAACCACCAACCAGTAAAGCTATATAATGGCTTTTATAATCCAACTTATACATGTGGCCCCACTTCAGATGCACTAGTTCTGGACCTGGCAGGTTGGGGCTTCCCGTATTCTCTGGGTAGATCACCACCAGCCGTGAAGAATGGGTGATTAGCACAAAAGTACGACAGCTTGGTAGATGCCTTGGTAAATGCTTGGTAGATACCTGTATCATACGGTCGTTGTATGTCATTGCTGCTCTTCGCCTTTGGTATGTTTGGCGCTGTGTCGCTGGAAAATTGCGCCAGCACATACATACAAAAACTTGCAAAAAGCGTGTCTGTGCCCGCTGCTGCTTGCACCTGCATAGCTGCATATCTCCAAAATCATCTGTGACTATGAAAATGTGTGGGGCACTCAAGCAGTCCAATGGTTGCAAGCCAGCAATCTGGCAGGGAAAGGAAACATCAAAAGGATGAAGGTGATGAAAAACACGACAAACACCAGGCACCCGACAGGTATAGGAAGCATAGGAAGGAGGACGATGTCAGACAGGACAGGGTCCAGGCACCTGACAGGGAAAGGAGACATCGGAAGGAAGAGGACGATGTCAAGAAAGACAAAGTCCAGTCACCTGTCAGAGAAAGCAAGCAAGGAAAAGAGGAGGATGATGTCAGAAAAGACAAAAGCCGGTCACCTGGCGCCTGGCGGGAAAGGAAGCAAGAAAAGGAGGAGGAAGATGTCAAAAAAGACAAAAGCCGGTCACCCGGCCCGGACAGCAAGCAAGGAAAGGAACACGACGTCAAAAAAGACAAGGACCAGGCACCTGACAGAGAAAGGAGACATCGGAAGGAAGAGGAGGATGTCAAGAAAGACAAAGTCCAGTCACCTGTGAGGGAAAGCAAGCAAGGAAAGGAGGAAGACGATGTCAAAAAAGACAAAAGCCGGTCACCTGGCGCCTGGCGAGAAAGGAAGCAGGAAAAGCAGGAGGAAGATGTCAAAAAAGACAAAAGCCGGTCACCCGGACCGGACAGCAAGCGAGGAAAAGAAGAGGACGTCAAAACCGACAAGGTCCAGGGATCTGACAGGTACAGGAAGCAAGGAAAGGAAGAGAACGACGTCAGAAAAGACAAAAGCCGGTCACCTGGCGCCTGGCGGGAAAGGAAGCAGGAAAAGGAGGAGGAAGATGTCAAAAAAGACAAAAGCCGGTCACCCGGCCCAGACAGCAAGGAAGGAAAGGGAGACGACGTCAAAAAAGACAAGGTCCAGGTATCTGACAGAGAAAGGAGACATCGGAAGGAAGAGGACGATGTCAAGAAAGACAAAGTCCAGTCATCTGTCAGGGAAAGCAAGCAAGGAAAAGAGGAGGATGATGTCAGAAAAGACAAAAGCCGGTCACCTGGTGCCTGGCGAGAAAGGAAGCAGGAAAAGGAGGAGGAACATGTCAAAAAAGACAAAAGCCGGTCACCCGGACCGGACAGCAAGCGAGGAAAAGAAGAGGACGTCAAAACCGACAAGGTCCAGGCACCTGACAGGTACAGGAAGCAAGGAAAGGAAGAGGACGACGTCAGAAAAGACAAAAGCCGGTCACCTGGCGCCTGGCGGGAAAGGAAGCAGGAAAAGGAGGAGGAAGATGTCAAAAAAGACAAAAGCCGGTCACCCGGCCCAGACAGCAAGGAAGGAAAGGGAGACGACGTCAAAAAAGACAAGATCCAGGCACCTGACAGAGAAAGGAGACATCGGAAGGAAGAGGAAGAAGTCAAAGAAGACAATGTGAGGCCAGCTGGGCGAATTAAGGGATTTTGCCTGAGGGGTACTGCAATTTGGCGGTGATAATCCCATGGTTATGTTTCAATCAGAGCCCCCGGCGGAGGACTTCGGCTAATAAAAGCCAAGAACGCCAAAGTTCAGGACAGGTTTTCCGCTTTTGGGTCCTGGGGATTGCCCACCTTGTGCGGAATTGTTAGGTGTGTACCACAAGTTGTTCCTACTTCCTACCATGCTCTTGAGCTAATCAGCTTCTGGATGAGATTGACACACTTTGATATTGATTTTTGTGTGATTTGTTTATGATTTAATATGTATTCTACTTTTCAAACATGTGCCTATTTGCATATGATTTTCCGCTGGTCACCTGTCATGGCTTTGTCAGAAAGCCCGTGACCGTTTCAGCATCGCAGGAGACCAACAGACCCGTGAAGGCCGCACAGAGAGGTGGGATGGGGACTTCATGTCGGATTCACTGGCCATTTAAGCACCATCCCCGACCTATTTTTATGTTGGATAAACCATCCCCATGGTTTTAGGGCGCCACCACATTAGGCTTTGTAGCGATTATGACTCTATTGAATTCTATTGTTACTCATAGGTTAAATATCTTAAGCAACAAACTCAAGACCCACGAATCCGTCCTCACATCTTGAGTTCTGAATTCGTGTAATAGGGAAACGGTCTCGCCTCGCGGCAAAAACATGTGTCGGTCACCGAGTTGGATAAAGGTGCGTCATGATGCATCATTGATGGGCCATTTCAGGTACATCGGAGGTACCTACCAATATGGTCATGTAAAGTCCATGTAAGGTGGGGGATATGCTTTCAAAACATGGCCAAATATATAGGGCCGGTAGGGTACTCTAGGTACCTGAAATGACTCGTTGGACCCTTCACTAACCAGCGTACCATGACCAGATGTGTTTCTTCGTTCACCTTGGGGGATCTCAGGGTCATTCTATGGATTTCTACGGAGATTACGCTGCAATCTTTCATTCTTGACATGCACCTATAGAAGATGCTTCAGGGAAGAACACATATAATAATAATTTATAATATATTATAATTTTAATTATATAATTATATAATTATATCACTCTCTAGTTTTGTGGGTCTAAATTTTAAAGCAGACCCATCAGTGGACTGGGTCTCGAATAGGGACCATGCCGACGACCTCGCAGGGAAAGAAAACATCGAAAAGATGATGACAATGTCAAAAAAGACAAAGTCCAGTCGCCTGTTAGGGAAAGCAAGCCAGGCAAGGAGGAGGACGACGTCAGAAAAGACAAAAGCCGGTCACCTGGCGCCTGGCGAGAAAGGAAGCAGGAAAAGGAGGAGGAAGATGTCAAAAAAGACAAAAGCCGGTCACCCGGCCCAGACAGCAAGGAAGGAAAGGGAGACGACGTCAAAAAAGACAAGGTCCAGGTATCTGACAGAGAAAGGAGACATCGGAAGGAAGAGGACGATGTCAAGAAAGACAAAGTCCAGTCATCTGTCAGGGAAAGCAAGCAAGGAAAAGAGGAGGACGACGTCAGAAAAGAAAAAAGCCGGTCACCTGGCGCCTGGCGAGAAAGGAAAGAAGGAAAGGAGGAGGAAGATGTCAAAAAGGACAAAAGCCGGTCACCCGGCCCGGACAGCAAGCAAGGAAAGGAACACGACGTCAAAAAAGACAAGGACCAGGCACCTGACAGAGAAAGGAGACATCGGAAGGAAGAGGAGGATGTCAAGAAAGACAAAGTCCAGTCACCTGTGAGGGAAAGCAAGCAAGGAAAGGAGGAAGACGATGTCAAAAAAGACAAAAGCCGGTCACCCGGCAGGGACAGCAAGCAAGGCAAGGAGGAGGACGATGTCAAAAAAGACAGGGAAAGGAGACATCGGAAGGAAGGGGAGGATGTCAAGAAAGACAAAGTCCAGGCACCCGATAGGTACAGGAAGCAAGGAAAGGAAGAGGACGACGTCAAAAAAGACGAATCAAGGTCAGTTGCGATGTGGCATGGGCTGTTGCTTGGGGTATTTTGGGGCTTGCTTTGGATCAAACCTGGTTGGCGGCCCTGGTCTTTAGCAGGGTTGGCCAGATTCTCCTCATGGTTTCAGTTGGGTCCCGTCTCTATTTCTTGAATATCTTGAATTTGAGATAGAGATAGATAGAGTAAATGGTGCCAAGCGGCTTTGTCGTAACATACAGCACCCTCGCAATCCTGTGTTTTATGGTCCTCTTACCTCTTTTTCTGCCAAATTGAAATTTTGAGAGAAAACCTTCTGGTGGTAGTCTGCATTTTTTTGCTGGCGATGCTATCCCACCCCGCAATCTCTGCGGGTAAGAATCATTGAGACAAAGCCCAATTTTTATTCACATTCAAGATCATTCAAGATCATTCAAGATCATTCAAGATCATTCAAGTGCATAAAAACTGATTTTATCGTGCCATAAAAATGTTGTCTTTCTACAACGTGACAGTGGCCATGTCCTGGCCATGTCCAGCTTCCAAGGTCGCCTTGAAGCCTTGGTGATCCCCCGGGATCACTTCCGTACTGGTGAATGAGTTATGATATGTCTATGGCATGTCATATCATTACTAGAGTTATTACATGTTCTGGTTGGTGGTTTGGAACATGAATTTTATGATTTTCCATATATTGGGAATAATCATCAGCCCAACTGAGGAACTCATATTTTTCAGAGGGATTGAAACCAGGAATCGTAGATGGGATGCATCCGATCATCGGGGTCAAACGTGTTTTCTCTTCGAAATTTTGAGACCTGACCCAGGCAGAAGCACAGCAAGTGGACCTTTTCGGACAGGAGCGGATGCGGCGATGCCAGATCCGGTCTAGGTGGTTTGCAGCGGTGGCCGGTTTCACAGTTATAACAGGCGAACAAAACCTCACTTACTTCCATTTACTCAATATATATATATAGCAATATAATGCATATATATATAATAATATATATATATATATAGATAGATATGCATGTATATATATAATTATATATACATACACACATGTATATACATATATATATATATGTATATATATATATACACATGTATATACATATATGTATATATATACATTTGTACATATATATCATTACATATTTAATTACATATGTATATATCTAAATAAATGAGTATATATATACACATATGGGTTTTGCTAAAGTGGGGGTACCCCAACACAGATGGTTTATATGGAATGTCATCTTTAAATAGTTGAATTGGGGTACCCTTATTTTTGGAAACCTCCATATTAATATATATATATAGATATGTATATATATATATATACATACATAACCTTAGTAGTTGCAGGAGATATTTTCCCATTTATAACATGTTATCATTGGAAAGGGCTATAACATGCTCTGGTTTGGTGATGCTGTATGTACAGACGTGTTTGTGTGGAAGTGTGTTTGGGTCAATCTGTGCAGAATGGATACTATGTGTTTGTGTACGCCATGTTGGCTAGGATGATTCCCCCAAGTCTCCATATTTTCGAATATGTTGTAGCAAACAACCAGCTCATATTCTCACTGTCTTCGGGGTCCACTCTTTATGGACCTGGTGGCCCGGTATCAATCATGTTTGTGTCATGGCTATGTCAGACATGTCGTCTGATCCTCCTGTGTTGAATCCAGAACAAATTCTTGTGTTGATCTGATGTTTCATGGCTGTTTTTTCCAACATGGCTGTTTGAACATCAGTTGATTGACCCTTCTGGTAATTTAACATAGCTATTGAAACCATGGACCATAGAAAGAGTGGATTTACCCATTGATAACATGGTGGATCTTTCCATCGTTGATGGTGCATCCTCAGTGATGTTCCCCCTGCTCCTCGGCCGAAGATGGACTCCTGTTTGGGGTCGGCCATCCGTTGTGGCATGGTTTTTTCCACACCAGACATGTCCCATGCGTTGGATCATGGAAAAGAAATATATATCCAATTTATCTAACATAAAAAAACTATTCAGAAGTATCTGAAAAAAAAAAGGCTATTTCAGAAAAAAAAACACAAGGAAAATTCATCCAAGTTCTGATTCTGTCCATTGATTTCCATCATCCCGTCTAGGAGCGGATCGAAAGACAGGCGGAGGGTTTTCCGGTTATCCCGCCGGGAATGGCCTTTTGTTGGTAAAGGAATTCCAATTTTTCTGCGGGGGCCGCGGGCCCCCCAGTGATAACTGAACGTAGTATGCCCATATACTCCATGTATGTGATTTTTAGGGCAAATGTTGGTAAATATTCCATACATGGAGCATATGGGATAGTTCTTGGATTTATAATTATTGGATTTTTCATAGTCATGTTAATAAGTATGAAAGTTATACATAAACTATATTACAATTGAAATTGTTTAACTCGTAAGCTAGACTCGCAAGCTGGGATTGTTCACTGTGGGGCCCATTACATGCCATATGTGGATCCCAATATATATATATATATAATTATATATATATATATATAATTATATATATATATATGTGTATGTATGTATCCCATTAATTGTTGTTATAAGTATCATAAACCATAATTATTGGATTTATGTCCATCAACTTGGCTATCGTAAACGGGAGCCCCACTTTGTAGGGTTTATTTTTAGTTGCAACCAACATTAATATTGATATATATAGTTAACCACTATAGTTTACTGTAACTCTTAGCCATAGTTATTTAAACTTGGTCTATAATGTTGATTTATTTAAGTTACAAGGTAGCTATAGTTAACATATTTTAATATATAGTTTATAAACCACCATGAATAGTTAAGTGGCTTACAGCTATAAGTTAACTATGTATTTCCCCACATTGACGTGTGGGGTTTTTGTTTTTAGTTCTGTATCCGCCGCCTCCGCCCGCCCGTCCTCCTCCTCACTCACACACACTCACACCGCCCGCCCGTCCTCCTCCTCACCCACACACACTCACACACTCACACACACACACTCACACACACACACTCACTCACTCACACACTCACTCAACACACACTCACTCACTCACTCACTCACTCACACACTCACTCACTCACACACACACACTCACTCACTCCCACACTCACTCACTCACACACTCACTCACTCTCACTCACTCCCACACTCACTCACTCACACTCACTCACTCACACACACACACTCACTCACTCTCACTCACTCACACACTCACTCACTCACACACTCACTCACACACACACACACTCACTCACTCACACTCACTCACTCACACTCACTCACTCTCACTCACACACTCACTCACACACTCACTCACTCTCACTCACACACTCACGCACACACCCACTCACTCACTCATGTGCATTTTGCGTGGCAGGCGTGGGACAATGTGCACTGCCAAGGGGTCGGATGTACGCCCTGGCGTCCCTCGGGCTCCGCGTCTTTTGCGTGGCAGGCGTGGGACAATGTGCACTGCCAAGGGGTCGGATGTACGCCCTGGCGTCCCTCGGGCTCCGCGTCTTTTGCGTGGCAGGCGTGGGACAATGTGCACTGCCAAGGGGTCGGATGTACGCCCTGGCGTCCCTCGGGCTCCGCCTCTTTTGCGTGGCAGGCGTGGGACAATGTGCACTGCCAAGGGTCGGATGTACGCCCTGGCGTCCCTCGGGCTCCGCGTCTTTTGCGTGGCAGGCGTGGGACAATGTGCACTGCCAAGGGGTCGGATGTACGCCCTGGCGTCCCTCGGGCTCCGCGTCTTTTGCGTGGCAGGCGTGGGACAATGTGAGCAGCCAAGGGGTCGGATGTACGCCCTGGCGTCCCTCGGGCTCCGCCTCTTTTGCGTGGCAGGCGTGGGACAATGTGCACTGCCAAGGGGTCGGATGTACGCCCTGGCGTCCCTCGGGCTCCGTTTGCGTGGCAGGCGTGGGACAATGTGAGCAGCCAAGGGGTCGGATGTACGCCCTGGCGTCCCTCGGGCTCCGCCGTCTTTTGCGTGGCAGGCGTGGGACAATGTGCACTGCCAAGGGGTCGGATGTACGCCCTGGCGTCCCTCGGGCTCCGCGTCTTTTGCGTGGCAGGCGTGGGACAATGTGAGCAGCCAAGGGGTCGGATGTACGCCCTGGCGTCCCTCGGGCTCCGCGTCTTTTGCGTGGCAGGCGTGGGACAATGTGCACAGCCAAGGGGTCGGATGTACGCCCTGGCGTCCCTCGGGCTCCCTCTCACTCACTCACTGTACATGAACATACATACATACACACAAACTCACCCACCATCACCGCTCCATCACTCTTATACTTCCTCTTCCCTTCTTGCTTTTCTATGGTCAGTCTAAGTCTAAAGAAGTTGGAAACATGTGGGGTTATCCGGTCCTTTAATTTTTGGATGATTGATGGTTATTGTAGATATTGGTAGATATATCTATGGTTAATCGGGGTGATATACCAACTGATGAGTTTAATCGGGGCAGCACCTCGTGCAACAGATCTGAATTCTTAGGGCAGACAGAAGATATGTTTATGTATCTAGTTTTGACCTCGTTTCAGCACTGATTTCCTCTCTTTTCAGAGAATTCAATAAAAGTTAATGGTTCACCCTCGGCTTATTTCACGCGATGCATGTGTTTCACACTTGGGACGGACAGCAGTTCTCCAAGTAAAGGACCTGCGCTAAAACAGTGTAGAGGGACACTACTAAAGGTTACCCTCTGGTAAACATACAAAAAACTATGGAAAATCACCATTTTCAATGGGTAAATCAACTATAAATCACCATGTTCAATAACTTTTTGTATGTTTACCAGAGGGTATACTTGGAGGCTGTAGTTCCACTAGTAAATGGTGATCTTTCAGCATGGCTGTAGGGCAAACATACCCAATTCATGGAAGTTGTTAGACGGGTATGACCAGATGCAGCCCCAAATTCTAACCTGTCAATGAGACTGGACTCTAAAATGGACGTACTGTAGCATAGATATGTTTCGCCATATTGAGGATCCCTAAAATTGAGCCCTGATATTTAGGCCTGAAAAACTCTAGGGACCCCAATAAATACGTCAATTGGGAGTTGGGATGAGGGATCTCCAGGCTTGATGCCTCGAAACCGAGCCCTTCGGGCAGCCCAAGGTGCGGCGGCCCGAGCCTTTGGGGCGGAGCGTTTGGGGCGGAGCGAGATTTGGAATGGATCCATGGTTGGAAATATCTTACCCTCCGGTAAACCAACTTATAACTATGGAAAATCACCAGGTTTACTTGGTAAATCAATCATTTTATGGCAATTTTCATAGCTTGCAGCTAGCTGCTTCCCTTCACCTACCAAATATCCAATTTGTGGTTTATTATTGGGTACCCCGCACTCTTTTATCATTGGGAATCCAGGGCTGGAACCACCACGAATGCATGGTATATGAATTGTCAGGGGCCAAAAATTGCTAGCGTGAACCGAGCGTGAACCGACCCTCTAAAGACTTGTACTATTACTGGCAAAAGGCCAACTATTACCGTGAACCGAGCGTGAAACCTTAGGAACCATTTCATACCATTTCTTGACGGGAACCGCCACGAATTTGCTCTGCAAAAGCTCCGGAATGTCAGTCTTAGTGGCTTGACAAATTGCAAATTGGAAAGGCCCATTCGGGGCTTTGATCTGAAGGTGATTCAAAAAAATGGTGCTTCCAATCATGCATCAACAGTTTCAAATGGGATTCAAATCAAGTTCATCATTGAACCGATGCAGTCTTCGGTCGTCATTTGTGGCTCTGATGCCATAAAACAGTGGGCGCAATGGATGACAAATGTGGAAAAAACTTGGCGATGATGAACGTAAGGGAAAAAAGGGCTGACTTCTATTAAACCGAGGTATACCAAAGGTCCTCGTAAAACTTGGACTTTAGCCAAAGACATCGTTAAACTTGACCTTCAGACTTGCAGGGAGCGATAATATTTGAAAACTATTTATGATATATATATATATATGTATGTATGTATTTGATCAGCAAAAACACTACTTATTCGAGTTATAATCCCACTTAGCTTATGTAAGGTGTATTTTAAGCCCTGGGGCATCCATATACTGCAGCCCCGAGTCAGCAGTTTGTCGAACTTTGGTCCCTGGAACCTATGGTAAGTCACGACATTTGTTCAGGGTTATTTCAATCCTGAAGGTCAGAAACTTGGCCACCATGTACAACAAGTGGAATTGTTGGATCGATCTTCCCAGAACTCAGCTTAAGATCCCTGTAGAAAATCCCCCTGTCTTTTAACCGATCTCTGGGGAAGGAGTCCCAAGAAGCCAGAAGAGGATGTCCAAAGGACATGGGAAAGGAACAGATGGCTCAATACGGCCCTAAAGTCATGGATTCTGCCAACATGATTTGAAGATCCTTTTTCGGTAACGGAATCGAATTTCAGGATTGAACAGCACAACGTCAGAGTGCGTGGCAAAAAATCGACGGCGCTTTCAGGCTACACCCGTAGGCTAAGTTGCGAGATAAAGCGTTCTTGAGTACTTGCGGGTGCAGTTCCAGTTTGAAGCCGGTGGATTACCATATAGTTATTGGGGTTCTATCCAAGGTTACGTGGGTTATTACCATGGTTACATCCGCGGTAAATCCCAACTGCACCTCAAGTAGTTTAGGTGAATGGAGCATTCTACTAGCCAGTTTGAAAAGGATTTTTGGTGGAGGATAGATATGCTGAATCTGAGATAAACAGTACCACGGTTACAGCCAGGATTTTTTCTCATGGTTCAGTTTTAGCACAGCACTTAACAATTGGGATTATACAATACTAATTAATACTAATTATACAAAAACTCCTTCAACTAGTTGGATATATATATATCACTCAAGTGGAGTTTTTTTAGCCAGTTATAACGTTGTGAAAAGGGCCATAAACGTGATGATTTCATCAACATCTCGGGAGGACTTCGGCCACCAAGAGCCCAGAACGCCAGGGCCGTTCAGGACTGGCTCTGTGCCTCTTGAGGTCGCGGTCGTGCTCTCCCCCAAACAAGACATATATGAGGAACCCTTGCCTGGAAATGGGGGAATTTCAACGCCGATCTCCGCTGCCCCACGAGGCAATAGTTAAATAGTTGTTTGGTTTCCTCTCATGAAACCTCTGATTGGTCGCATTTCGAAGAAGACATGTTGACGAAAAGCAGCAAATTGATTTCGGTGACCATAAGTTTCAGACGAAACCAGATGTTCCTTGGGGGCTGCAAGTTTGCTAAAAACACCCAGATGACTTCAGGAGATCCAAAGACCTCCAGCGAAAATCATGGTGTAGAGAGGTCACCTGAAGCGGGTGAGTCGGGCTAGAGATGCACAGTTCATGGCGGTTGAATTTCTCACTTTTTCTTGGGGAATGTTGCGTAACCATGCCCCATTTCGTCCCATTTCCATGATTTTTCATCCACCAAACTTTATGGTCCTGGTGGTGACTGAACAAACCGAGTTCTTGCCAGCCGATGTTGGGGATTCAAACTCGGAGCATTGGAGTGGTAAGTTTCAAAAAGAGGAGATTATATCCGCTGGATGATTTTTTTTCCCGGGACTTCGTTGTTTTACTGTGAATTGCCATGCCATAGCCTCAACCAGACAGGGCCTTTTAATGAGAGAGGGTGAACCGGGCAGTGTAGATTTGGGGTTGGAATGTAAGGAACATGACATGGAAGTGGACTGAATTGGGATGAATCGTTCCTATGTAGGAAAACCAGCTAGAAGTGATTAGAAGTGAAATGGAAGTTTCCTGAACTGAGTCCCCCAAATCATCCAGTCATGGATGACCATGACTTAGAAACTTGAAACGACCCAAGTTTCAACCGCCATGGTGACTTGGGGATGCCCCACGACTTAAGAACCCCCAAGCGGGTGGCAAAGAATCCATGGTGATCCGCAGGCAGCCCAGCAAATGGGACTTCTCGGAGAGGACCAGGAGCGGATCCAGACACTGATTTTTCGAGGCAAAGTGCAGATTATCAAGCCCTGTTCGCAGGTATAAGTGGCTAAGAACACCCCATTTAAGTGATATATATATATATATTATATATATATGCTTAGTTGCAGGAGCTACAATCAAATTATATCACATCTATACGTGTTAAGGGCTATAACTGCGGGATCACAAAAACGGACAAACATGTCAAACATGTTTTTTTGAGTTGAAAGACATTCCCGTAAGACATTATATGTTTATCTCATTTTGATGATGGCGATTGCCGCTCTGCTTGCTCTTCAGCACGTTTAGACTTCGTAGGACGGACTGGTCATGTATACACTGTAATTTACACTATATTGCCAGTTTGCCTTCGCAGCCTAGCGAGAAAGTATCACCATGTGTCACAACTTTTTCCTTTTCCGTGTAGTCATACTTTTTGACTCAATACTCTCAAACCCCTTTGCAGGGAACTCGCTCCATCTCGCGTTTAGGTGGAAAAACAAATCGTAAGCCACTTCTTACTTGAAATTAAGTTGTATATTGTATATTAATTTTGGTTTCACTCCATTGTGTTGTACATGTTTGATATGGGGATGGGTCAAAACCTATTAAATTATTACCATATTGGGAATTATAAACTATCCCCCAAATCACCATAAGTAAGTGGTATAAACCATTCCCAAATGGGTGGTTGATCCATATTTAAGGGGGAATAACCCTCCAGCTATACCAGCTATGACTTCGGGTATCTCCAGGAGTGGTGGCTCTCGGAGTCCTTCCAGCCAGAGGTGGGGTGCAACCGCGCGGGTGGTGATCCGTGGGATGGAAATCCCCAAGAAAGAACAAGGGGATGAGCATCCATCCATGTTCAAAAGGGGGGTAAAAAAGCCCATTTCTACCACATTATCATATTATAATATTATCATATTTATACCATGTTACAGACCCAAAAAATGCGTTTGTCCGATGGCATGCCATTAGAACATTTAGAAGCCAACTGCGTGATCCATCGTCCCTCTAGATGGAGTGCTCATAAGCCGACGGGTCAAGATGTATCTGGAAGATGAGTGAAGGCATCCCCACCAAGTGTTGGATTTCTCCAACTCCAATGACGAGTTCATCTGAGTTTTGGATTCCTCTTGGTTTCCGCTTGGGGCGGCAGTGTTCTGAACCAAAAAACAGGGCAAATCACCTCGAACCCCTCCGTCACGCCAGATCAGTTTATGAGAGCATTGCGGGAAACTGATTGGAATGCTGCCAACGGGGTCAACAAGCTTTGTCATCTGTTTGTTTTCCTACACGGATCTTGGTCAATGATTGCCGTACATCCAAGTTGCTAGGCAGTCGTTGAGTAGGTCAGTGGCTTATTTCTTAGCGATCTACAAACTAGCAATCTAAAAAAAAGTATCATGATTGGGTATGGTTGCAGCCAGGCTTTCTTTTGTCCCCGGTGATGATTCAATCGGAACTTCGCAGGACTGTGACCAAGAAGAGCCCAGAGCGTGAAGGACGGGGAATCCTCAGCAGAGGTTCTTACTTTTTCAAAGATCCTTGGACTGTTTGGTTTGGAAACCGAATCCCTGCTGCATGCTTAATCATTTAATTAATCCAAAAAAAACAAGGTAAACTGTGGTAAATCTTTGAACTGCCATTTTGAGATGGATCATTATTATAAAATATTATAAATAATGATACACAATGACATTTTTCTGATCTAGTGACCAAGCCTGATGCTTCGCGGAGTGCGGGTTGTGGGACAGACTCTGTGACTTCGGAAGGAGACAAGCCATCCAGCGAAACGAAAAACCGTGTAGAGAGGCCCGTGAAACTTTTCGGGGGATTGGACTGGATTGATCCTTAGCTCCATCCCTGGCAATTGAATCGGTCATTTTTTTTTTGGTTGGTGGTTTGGAACATGAATTTTATTTTGCCATATGGGAATAGTAATCCCAACTGATTAATATTTTTCAGAGGGGTTGAAACCACCAACCAGTATTTTTTTGGTATGCCATAATTAACGCATGGATTGGACATTTTATAACAATGGCTGAGCCTAGTTTTCCCGCCCCCGAGCCGGAAAGGCGAACATGTTTTGTGCCACAGATGTGCACCCACTGGGCTGGAGTGGTTGCACTTGCACACGAGTCACCTTGCAGGGAAAGCAAGAAGCACCAGAAGGAAGAGGACGATGCGAAAAAAGATGAAGCAAGGCCAGCTATGATGACATATACGATGATCAAATTTGGTTGGGCGCGACGTCGTAATCTGGATGGATCTATATTTTTTATAGATCAAAAGCAAACATATGGATGGCTTTGCAGTCAGATCAAGAAATTCTCAGACAAGGTCGCTGCAAAGGATTTGGGCACATGGTTAGTGACCAGTTGTTGAATTAAATTGTGCATTACATCATGAGGTTTGGCAGATTGATGACCCCAGAATGACCAAACACAACAACCATGGCGGTTTGGACGCGAAATGTGCCCGACAGTACGAAAGGGTGTCAGATTTAAGAATCATTTACAGGGTGGTTCCCCATAGTTAGCTAATTAAGTTGTTTTATAAGTCCAGCAACTATGGTTTATAGGTGATACATCTATAAGTTAATGGGATTATAACCAATTTATAACTGGGGGCGGCACCACCTTGCATACTTTAGTATAAGATATCCTTCTGTGCGGTTCCTCTATGTGGGCAAAAGCCTCAATAGTTTTGAGAAGTACGGTCCTGTGCTTGCAGCTTCTTGACAATTCAGCATCAAGATACAGTGTGGGGCCCCCCAATTATGTTTGTTGATTTCTAAATCCTATTAACATCTATTAACTATACTTATTAGTATCATAAACCATGTTCATTGGTTTTACCAACCAAGTTAACTATCTAGGGGGCCCACATTGTAGTATGGTTTGCGTTTTGGATTTTTTGGCGGATGACCCTTCAACAGCAGCATTCGGCTTTGCACTGTTCACATACTTGTTGACTGATTCTCCATGTTCTTCAGTTGCTGCAGTGTGGTGGTGGTATTTGACCGGTATGATTTTGCGGTCAAATTTCAGCCACCATGCGGCCGAATATGCACTAGAATTACCCTCTGGTTATTTAACAGAGCTATGGAACATGTTCCATTTAGTTCGATGATTTACTATGCTCTATGTATGCTATATTCACCTACACTTGGGTGAATTTTAGGGCAAATGTTCGTAAATATTCCATACATGGAGCATAATACAGGTAAGACATGGTACATGATGATTTTCCACTTCGCAATGTTGACGAGAACCAGCCTAGGGTCGCCTGCAACCTGCCGGGAGGCAGTCTAAAATACCCGTTCGTATATTTTAAAATCCGTATATAGTTTTCATGGGGGTTAATCTAAACCAACAAACATGAAACGTTTCGGGGGGCCGAATCTAAACGCAGGCCGAAGCAAGGTAAGTGGAACTTCTCGGACAGGCCCAGGAGCGGGGCAGGATCCTGCCGGATGATCCCAACGATCTTGGGGGATATTTCCCATGGAGGATCATATGGCTGGTTCAATCAAATATGGATCTGTTCTCATTACATATATACATATATATATATATAATATAATATATTATATATATATGTATTCATCCCAAAACTTGCCCAAATTGGTTTTGGTTTTCTGGGATGCTCTCATATGTTGGGGGTGCCAGAACAATGTGTCTAAGGATTGGGGGCAACACCTGGTCAGTCTTTACCAGCCCAAGGATTATAGTCTTGGATAGTTTGGGAATGTTCGGGATGTATTACAATGTTAAACAACCTGACCAAACTCCATTGACCTCGTTGAACTCGGCCTCCCAGTTAACAATAAGTTTGTTTATCAACCCACCAAACCATTATACTGGTATAGATGTAAGAAGCATAAACCCTAGTCAACAAGGTCGTAAACCAACTTAGCTAACGAACTGGGAGCCCAATTGTATCATGTTCCACGACGTATTTGCTATACACTATAGTCAGGCTCCTCCCTTCGACCGGGGCATGAGCCTAATAATTTCTCTTGTTGAAAGAACCGGTGAACCGGTTGCATGGCCTATTTCCTTTTAATAGCAACCCCCAAAAAAGAAAAAAAGATCGAAAACATGTAAGCCTGGAAATATGAGGTGTCATCGGAGTCATCGAACTAACATCCTGGAAGCACCTTTTTGGTTACTATACGCTGTGGTTGCTCGGTTACTCCCTAGGGAATTTCCCTTTTGCATTGCCGAGAGGAGCACATCGAATGACAGGCCGGATCATGGTTCCAAAGAACTGATGTCGCGACGTCCATGGTGCGGATTGGGGTAACTCTCCCACAGCGGCCTTAATTGAGGATTAGTCTTCTTCTTTTAGTAATAATCCAGGTGTCTTTAAGATGATGGCACAAGCAGATGCAGATAGTTTTGGCCAATGTGATGAACTCAAGAATCTGACGAGCATCTTTCAAATGACCAATATTGCAGCCGCGCTTGCTATCCAGCACATTTTGAGGACTCATCATCGAATTTGTCAGAAGAAGTTGCCAGGCAATGCAAGACTTATGACTTCTTGGGACAGACCTAATGCAAAGGATGCTTGTTTTTTTGACTTAGCACTGACTTTCAGTAGTTTCATAAAATCCGCTATAGAAAGAAGTTCTCGCCCATGGCTATTGGCTATTTTCTATGGTTTCTGCTCGTCTCTGCTTCTGATTGCCTGATCATTCTGCTTCTGAGCAATGGCTTCAATGCCCGGAAGCCGCCGAAAAAAACTCTCGTGTTTGCCTTTCGTTATTTTATTGTGACCCGGGATTCGGTCGACATGCGTTACCATCTTGTTATGACTAACATAGCCATGAAAAATCACCATTTTTAATAGGTAAACCATCTAGAAACGGATAAATAACCAGAGGTTATGTTTTTTTTGTAATGAGTTTTCGGTGCTTGACATTGCTTGACTGGTTGGAAGATGTGGCTGATGTGGCTTCGTTTATAAGCACAGTCGACACACACGTGTATCTCTACATGTCTCTACGGTTTGTAAAAAATGAAGACACATGGACACTTAATCTTTGTTCCATCGCAATTGCTTTCTATCGAAACTACTAGGGGATACGTATCTGCTCTAACCCAATTCCTAACCTTAAGCCCAAGTTCATTTCAACTAATAAATTTACATATCATGCTTGAACCATGTTGATCCCATTCTGTGGATATCTATGTATATAATCCCATTCCCCTGGTCTTAAACACCCAAATTGTATCCATCTGTACTTTTTACCCCGTGGGGACTCCGAGGGGTGTGTGACCAATTTTGGTCCCATGAAATTCTATGAAATCCCGTTCACCCCCAATGTGTTGATGCTTAAGCCTCAATGTTTATCCATTTTTCCAATTTGTTGATGGCTACTATAAACGGGGTATGGGATTAGCCACCTGAAACCACAGGATTGGTGGCTCCCTTAGCCCTTCCAGCCAGAGGTGCGGCTGATTGGGGATTTGTGGCATATCTACAAGGTGCCCCACAATTAGCTAAGTTGCTGCAGATAACTCCATTCAGTTAGTTTATATACATATATGAGATACGGTCAAAATAAGCGGAGATTACTTTAGTAAGGGAGGGTCCAATCGTGTTGAGAAAATGCACCAAACCATGTAAAGCGATAGGGCCCCTCCCAAAAAGCGATAACCTGTAACCATCTGTGGGCAAAATTGATGAAAATTCAACCTGCAGTGCCCGCGTTTCTTGCAGTTGCCATTTCATTTGCTGTTTAAGGTGATTGAGCCATTGCTTCTATTTTGGAACCATTGGTCTATATCAAATACGGTCTTTCTAGTTCGGAGATGAGATCGTAACAGATTTCCTTGCTTAGGAAAGAGTCTAGGACTGTGCTTAGATAGCTCCCCAACATGGTTGCAAACGCAAAGACAACGAAAGGCCCTTAATCCATCCCCGGCAGTTTAGATCTGAATCCGTGAAGCTAATTCCCTTGCATTTTTGCAGTATTTCGTGTTGATTTGAACAAAACACTGGAAAGCGATAGGGCCCCCCCCAAAGAGCGATAACTTATATTTTTGTACCAGGCATAAACAATTGATTTTGACGGCGGCTCATATATATATATATATATTTACATGCATTCATATTATAGTCACTATAGTCAGTAGGGGTTTTCATGTCATATACCTATAGTACCTATAGTTAATGGTGCCTCTTGAGCCGCTATTTCGTTGGGACAGCATTTTTATGGCGTATGGCGGCAGGGAAAAGGGCGAAGTCAAAGACGAAGTGAGGCCCGGCCTCCTGTCACCCCAATTCGTTAGCTAAGCTGGTTTTATAACATATAATAAGTATATAGAACTTAATGATGCATGATATATAATGATATATCTGTGGGATCTGGGAACCGAAATATCAACTTCTGCGAAGGAATGGCGGGAGAATTCCGATCCGTAACATTCCTGCCATGAACTATTGACATCTGCAGTTCCGACCTCGTGTCAGCTGCATGGAGAGATGGGGAGAACCCTTCAGAAATCCTGGATGCCATGAACCAAAATATATGTTGCTTGACTATACCCACATTTACCCTCTGGTAAACTAACATAGCTATTGAGAATGGCCATTTATAGTGGATTTTCCCATTAAAAATGGTGATTGTCCATAGCTATGTTAAATTACCAGAGGGTACCCACATTTACCACCTGGGTAAATCCTGAATGGATTCAGCATCAAGCATTATCCTTTGCCACTTGGGGCAGCTCGATCTGGCTTCAAAGTTAGACGTCCGATTGGAAGAAGCTTACCTCAATGGTTTTGATCTTTGAGCAAACCCAATCACCGCACAACTGGCATAGATCAATGTTTGATATTTTTTTGAAACAGTCTTTGTACAGTTATGGCCCTCTAAAAATTGTAAATGATTATAGTTTGAAAATGGGATTATACATTCCATAAATGATGTTATAAGTTCTTTTCATTGGTAAAATACCATAACTATAATCTTTTGAAATGGGGCGCCTGAGCTCGAACATGAGTTTGTTATTTCTCTATTTTGTTGCAGTTATGGCCCAACTAACAGTTATGTTTATGGGTTTATTTCATGATATGATATACCACTCCAACTAGTTATATATATAGGAGTTAAAATTTCATGGCCATCACTGTTAGGTGGGCCATAACTGTGGCAAGTCCCAAGTCGTCTCTTCTCTCGTCTTTTTGCGACGATCTTGGGTCAATTCTATACCTTCGGAGCAGCATGCTGTACAGCATATAACACGTTGTTTGTGCTGATCTGTGTTCCATTCCTGTTTTGGATTGATTATCCCACATTTGTCGTTTTAGTTTAGACACGCCACAGTTTGCAGGGGTTGGTTTTGGGTTGTCTGTGGTTGTTGAAACCTTGAAAGTCTTGTGTGTAGCATGTTGAAACCTTCCACAATTATTGTTTCATGAAGCCCAAATTCGGGAGGGAGAGACCTTCCATGCTGATTGGCTGTTCTATTTGGGCGATTTCTTCACCATGGAATACTGTTAATCAAACTTTCGACATTCAATTACTAGGATAAAACTATAGTGTATATGATGTTTATTAATCAGATATATAACTATATTATATATATATAACTCTATATATATATATAACTCTATATATATATATATAACTCTATATATATATATAACTCTATATATATATATATATAACTCTATATATATATATAACTCTATATATATATAACTCTATATATATATATATTGACTAGTATATATACCATTCTTTTAAACAGCTGCTTTTACTTTCACGTGTGGCCTTTCAGAGTTAGACGATGATTTCCCCTATGAAGCCAGCAACGCCATGGGCTCAGCCACGCAAAGTGCAAATCGGACACCTGCACGGAATGGATTAGCTTGGGGTTTGCACCCAGGCATGGTAAATAGATGTATCATTGATACTATCATCATTAATCATCATTAGGGCATCATTTTTGCAAGTTTGTGACTTTGGCAGCAAGGGGTTGCCAACCTTGCGCAAATGAATGTACATGGTATATAATATAATCCCCATATCTATTCCATATAATGGGGCCCTCATTGTAATACTATTAGTCTATATTTGGACTATACGGCAACTTGGAAGTGCAGTTCCAGTGAGTAAATGGTGCTGTATAGCCCATAGATCGTCCGTATAACTGGTGAATACAAGTAGGTCAAACAAAGTTTTGAGACTTTCTGACACAGGCAGATGCAAAGCAAGTGGAACTTCTCGGAAAGGGCCAGGAGCGGATACAGACATGTCTCAAAATTGTGTTGTTCTTTTGTGATGATTTATCTATATATAATTTATATATATATAATATATATATATATTTGTTTGTCGTTTTTTGATTAATCAAACAATGTCAATATCGGCACTTGTTTTTCCATCCAACTATATACTTTGTATGTTTCCCCCCGAAGAAACCATCGCAAAAGGATGGACAAGTTTGGAACCTGAAAATTATCTGCAAAACATAATCTATCATCATAACCTGGATAGATTATGATAGATTTTGGAATTATGTGCAAATTATTTCTATCCCAACCTGGAAGTACTCGAAATATATTTTGGGGGGCCATGGTGCACTGATTTAAGCAAGCTGGCTGAAATCTATATGGAGTCAAATTACAATTGTTGTGCCATTTTTTGAGGAATGAGTATCCACAACAGAAGGCTATGAGTCGAGGCTTTGGACCCCTCCAGCCATATCTCACGGACTCTCCCGGACGGTGCAAAGGAGCACATCGAATGACAGGCACGGCTGGTACTCGTCTTGCCCAGTATTGGAGGCGTAGGTACAATGGTGCAGATACTTGATGAACATCTCACTACAGCTGGTTTTTGAGGACGCTTTGGTAACAGTATGTGAGGCTCACTGTTGACATTGTGAGAAAAATGCCAGACAAGGCAAAGCTTAGGACTTCCTAGGACTGATGAAACTGATTGGAGACATACTTATGATTTCCTACGTATAGAGTGCAGCAGTGCAGCTACACCCCTTACTGACTGTAAATCTAGATCAACGCGTATTTCTGATTCAACAGTAGATTGTAGATTCCCTGAAAATCAGTAGATTGAAGATTGTAGATTGAATCAATTGAAAATCTACATTCTAACGTTGTGAATGCGGACAGTAGATTGACTTTCACAACGGCTTTGTGGATTCCCTGGAGAAGTGTCTCACCATGCCATGTAGATTCGCTGTAGCTGCTCTAGATCATCCCTGTTAGGACATGGCTAGCGAATGGATATAAACAAACACACCTATATTATGTACATATAATTATGATTAATTTTATATAATATGTATATTATATGATTATAATTATATATATATTATATCATATATATATTACTATATATACATAATTCTGATTATAATTGTATATTAATTATAGCTATATATTATTATATGTATAATGACTCATTTGGGACAGTTTAGATGAGAAACTTCCGCGTCACAGACACACCTCAATGCAGAACGAGTTATTTATTCAGTTTTTGTTGCATTTATTAATGTGTTAATTTGTTGATTCATATGTTCATGTAACGGTGCAATGAGTGAAACACCGGTGTCATGTTGTCATCTTTTTGGTCCCTAAGTTTCGACACGCAATGTTTTAACTGGTACATATGCTTCTTGTAATTAGTACTTGTAGCATCTTTTAGCTACTAACCCTAAATTGTGTTTAATCATTGTGAATTTGAAACTAGGATTTGGATTATCAGTACAAAGTAGCTAAGATGATTGATCATAAACTGCAATCTTAAGCATCTCTTAATCCAAGTTTCAAATTCGCACCACATATCAACAATCCTATTGTATGGATGGCAACCTACAGTTATGTCCCTTGACAGTTACAACCTACAACAAATTGGTGAAAAATATCACTTTAGTGGGATTCTATTTTCGGCAGTTTTAACCATGAGAAGGGCCAGAACTGCAGGTTTTCCACATCTATACCATATATATATATCCTATGTTTATCCCAACGTTATCCCTCTCAAAGCATATAAAGCCTAGAAACAACGTCATGCTCAGCCCTGCACATGAAAACTCTCCAGGGCTGGCGGCTCTGGGAGCCGCTCGAGCAGCCAGAGGTGCCTCTTCGGGCCCGAGTTATACCAGTTATAAGTACTAAGTCACCCCATTTGTGGATAATCTGGTTGGTGGTTTGGAACATTTTTTGAATTTTCCCATATATTGGGAATACTCATCCGAACTGACTAATAATTATTTTTCAGAGGGGTAGGCTCAACCACCAACCAGTTGATGTATAGTCCCACTTTTAGCCAGTTATCATTTATATTTGGTAAAGGACCATCACTGCAATGTGAGGCCCCCAAGATAGCTAAGTTGGTTTATAACTCCAAATAACTATGGTTTATGGTACGCAAATAACTATAGTTACTGGGGCGAATCTAAACCAACTAACATCACTGGGGGGCTCACATTGTGGGGAACATGATGTTTAACCAACAAGAGGGGACTGATTTACTTTACATCCAAGCGACGGGTACCGGGTAGTTTAATCCTTCAGTGTTTTTTGGCTATGAAAAGAACCAGAAGCAACGAAACGTTGTTGTGGACGATCACAGAGTTATGGCAATTTATTAGCTACAACTGGTTATTTCTATGGGATTATACATTCTATAAATGGGGTGACTTAGTACTTATAACTGGTAAAGGGCCATAACTGCAGATTCATCATTTTAAGAAAATCGGTTTACATATTTATTTTCACACAAACACATGTGGAATTAAGAACCGAACAGACTCATATGAATATGCCTGGCAAGTAAAGTAGAATGTGGCCATCAACACATGGAATCAAATCGACAAACATGCTTGGAACGGTTGTTTAGATACGTTCAAAATCATGCAACAAATTGTGTGGTCCCGGTTGATGTTCATCACTTGGGGATGTGTTGAAACATGTTGCAACAATTTGACCCGATTTCCCAACTAAAACCTGATAAAATCCACAAACGCGACTGCATTTGTTAAATGAATGCGTACTTAGAAATGTTCCAAAGACTCTGAAGATATGCTGAAAACCACGTACTTTGCGTTACTCTGCGCTGCATTCGAATCACTCCACGCGTTACACTGGACAATCCCCAACGTGAGACCACCCAATCACGGATCAATACCTATGGCTTGTAAACCATACAATGTGAGGCCCCCAAGATAGCTAAGTTGGTTTATAACTCCAATAACTATGGTTTATGGTACTTCTAACTATAGTTACTGGGGCTTATAAACCAACTTAGCTATCTTGGGGGCCTCACGTTGTAGGAATTGATACATATGGCCCTGGATCAATTCCAGGAATGCTCCTTTATTTGGGGGATGAACATGGACCAGCCATCCCCAGGCGAAGCACCTTGTTAGACGCCTCGGTGCCTGAGAAGGTGGGGGTTTGATTAATGGAGCCACAGAATGCCCTGGTGAACGTTGCGGGTTGTGGGTAGATATTGATTAATGTTGGTTAATGGTGAATAATGGGATTTTGAACGGTTTTGTATCATTTCAGATATTATTTCGTGTTTATTAATAATGTTTTATATATGATATGTTTTAAGAATGTTATATATATGATATTTTGTTAATAATGTTTGTTTATAATGTTAATAATAATATTTAATAGGGACCATATGGTGATATTTATGGGGCAATCATAGGATATCATGGGTTTACCCGTTTACCCTCCGGTGTCATCGGTCACATGGCTGGGAAATCTCCCAAGCAGGTTCGGCAGCTTCAGCTAGCGATGTTTGATGACCGGAGGGTACATGAACAAAATGGTAATTCACAGATGCTATGTGGTGAACAGATGGTAAATAATGGTGATATATAGCTAACTATGAATTATGATATATCAGATCATAAAAATGGTAATATATACATATATATATTATGTCATAGCCATGTTCACAGATGTTCATGGTTAATATGACAACTGATAATCATGGCTATACGGTATATATTGGTATATGGTGCTTTACCTGTTAAACCATGTTGTCCCTATTACATTGAGGAATTTGGATTTACAGATGTTCATCCACACTATGTGCAGATGTGGTATCGATAGGATGTTGCTTGGGACCTCCAAGTGAGAATTTTTGTCTGTGGGAATCTCAGCAGGTTATTAGAAAAACTATCCAAAGAATCAGGTTACATCACTTTACATCACTTATTTCCCTTCAATGCTGGGAACAAAAACGTCAAATTAAATATCTGGTTGGTGGTTTTGGACATTTTTAGTTTTCCATATATTGGGAATAATAATCCTAACTGACTAATATTTTTCAGAGGGGTTGAAACCACCAACCAGGAATTCTAACACGGGGTACCTTTGCAAACTGTTTGGTCGGTGTCTGAGGAAACATGTTTTCAGAAATTCCGGTTTTGCAGAGGTATATTAATGTTGGATACTGATTTGAACATATTCAATTACTGTATTTTTGGGATTTGTCTCACAATAGAGGCCCATGACACTTATCGATATCCAACATTATGGTAAATTACTGTAGTACCTCCACATTTGGCTCCTGACATGTCCCCATAGCGGCTATTGTTTGGTCCTTTTTTTTTTGATCCAAAATCCATCATGACTCTGACGAATGTGTCCCCTGGCATCCCTTTGAAGACATATTCAAATTTCCTTACCATAGCTAAACCATGCTAAACCCTACCTCAATCTGATATGGTATAATCAATGGGAATTTCAGGATCCTAAAATGGAGGTACTGTACCATATAAGGCCATATTTTGCTGGGATAATTCCTTACATGGCCTTACATAGGCCTTATATATGGTAGGTACCTCCAATATAGTTCCCTGAAATGCCCATTGATATAAGGAACATTAAGGAACCATCATGACCCCCAAAATGGAATTCACAAGTTGACGCTTGCACAGATGGTTCCTTCTTTGAAGGCTGAAACCGATTCAGATTCAAAATCTTGACTGGTGAGATGTTTGATGGCTGGTTGGTGGTTTGGAACATTTTTTATTTTCCCATATATTGGGAATAATCCTCCCAACTGACTTGCATATTCTTCAGAGGGATTGAAACCACCAACCAGATGGAATGGGAATGGGTCAAAACGGAACACCCCGAACTTGTCTTCGAAGGGGACGTATATTTTAATTGATCCCTCCCTCCGTTTATGTTGAATACCCCCCAAACGAAACCCTGGTGAAATGCATTCGATTTGTTCATATTTTTGTGGTCCACATCGAGAGTCAATATAAGGGGATGGGATGATCGTTTGTGACAAGATGGTTTGACATTTTGAGATGGTTTCTGACATTGATCATCTTTCGTTTTTTGATGTTTTTAAGATGCAAATTGTCGGCATTTTGAGTCAAATCAGCACCTGGGTTTCCATCCCCAAATCACTCGCCAGTGGTAGTTCAGCCTTGCCAGAGGTTAGAGCGCATGGCTCTGAAACGTCCTCGAAGCTTGGTCGAGTTTGCGGCGTGGAATCCGTGGATCCGGGTCTGAAGGGGATGATTACACTATGGCCTATTCGAAATCAGCACAGGGCCCCATGGCCCACCAGGATAACTGGTGCTGAAGTTTTTTTGGTCGACATCAATGTTGATGAGTTTTTGATCCGGAAGTTTGTGTGGAAAAGAGAACAGGTTTCATATCCTCCAGACCTTGATACAGTCATCCCTGACTTCCCATCGCCCAGATGGGAAAGGTTGATGTGCATCCCAGTTGGTAAACTGGCCCTGGGATCCACAGCTATCCCTCGAGAATCTGGGACTCCACGGGTATCAGGTAGCTAGGCGCGAACCGGAACCTCAATGTATGAGCATCTATGATCATGTATTGTATATCTATATACCAAGCCCCAAAAGCATAGAAAAGTTGGCAACCTGGACAATATATGGGAAACTTCACCTAAACCCGTTTCTATCCTTTTGGAGGTTGCTAAATGGCTATACCAATATGTTCCTGCACCATCCTATACTTCCCCGGATACAAAGCCCAGTCATGTATGTAAACATGCTCATGGATGGTACTGTTTTTTTTAGTAAAGGAAATCAAATCCTGCGCAAATGGTATTTTTTGTTAAGCAGGCTTCAATATGTTCACGTTTTTCATGAAAGTTGCATGTGTTTCCATGGGTTTCCACGGTGTTCCATCATTTTTCAGCCGGATTTTTCGGATTTTCATGGCTTTTACAGCGTCAAAACGTCGAGGACTCCATCCCGTCGGCCTTCCTTCGATTTGGCGCAGTATTTTCAGGCCGTCTGTCGGGGGTCCGGTCCGTCGGGTCCAAAGTGAACTTCGAAGATGCCAAGCTTCCAAGTGTGGTACCCGGCCTGGTAAACGTTAACAAAAAAACATGGAACATTACCATATATAATGGGATTTTAACTATTTAATGGGAAAACTCACTATTATATAATGGGAAAACTCACTATTTAACTATGGTCATTTTCAAGTTCACGAACTGTTCAATGACCAGAGGGTAAGTTGAATCGTATCATACTCCTGGGTAAATGAGTTGACGACCGAAGCCTGTTCTCTCGAACCCTGGAATAGGTCTTTGTAGTGGGTTGATGGTGGCTGATGATTCTCTTCAGCAAGGAGATTAATATTGAATGATGTGCGTCATGTTCAGCATTGAATTGTTTTGAGGTGCTTGATCTACATTGGTGTGGTAAACCCAATGGCATAAACCATCCCCGAAATCACCATGTTGGGTTTGAAGCGTACCCAGTCATGGTAGGTTGATGGCATTGGGTTTCCCACATGAATTCACTACGTGTTTCATCGTTGGACATAGCCTTCACAATCCTCACGTTTCCGGGGCGACCTCAACTGTGATGACATTCGAGCAGCGCCCAATGCTTGGGAAGGATTGATCCAGCTGAAAGGATGCCCATGATCTTGTATCAATACCTTTTAAGCTTCTATTTTCCACAGGGTAAGCTCTGTATGAGTACCCTGATCCACTTGCTTTTAGTTTTTAAGCTTTGATTTTCCACAGAGTAAAAATAAAATAAAATAAAACATACCAACCTGTATGAGTTTTCGAAATCAGGAGGGTTAACCCTCCGAACCAGGTCGGGTTTTCCACACTCTGATGTGGACATGTACCGGTATGTAAATACTAACATAGATGTGGAATATGTGGAAAAGCCATGGTTTCTCTATACCCATAGGATCCATGTATGCTATATATGGTAACATTTACCATCAATATACCCCCAATGTTAGCATATATACCATTGACATGGATCCTATGGGATATGTAAGTGATCAATAGTATACGACAGTATACGATGTGAACCACATCTGTTAGCTGGATCAATCCCGATTGTGACTGAGGCGAAGCGTGATTCCAATGCAGGCCCTGTGGTGCAACAAAGATGGGTCAAGTTGCGTGGTTTGGATAGAGTCTGGCGAGACCGCCAAATGAAATGTTCACTGCCAAGGAACAAAAAAAACATGCCAATTTCAAGGGTGTTGGCTCATACTGAACCAAACTAAAACTGACCTTAATTGTTGGATACTTGTTATTTTTTTTCGAATACTAGCTGCTATACACATGTGTATATGTAATTTATATGTGCATATATATATATATAACATATTAAACTGGTTGGTGGTTTCATTTGTCTCATTACCAGTCATATGTTTGATAATCCCCAGTGGCCAGACAGAAATACATTCACAAACTTAACAGATGTGGGCAACTAGCCAAGTGCAGTTAAAGCCCTTTTACCGCTTATGAACGATCATAGCAGGGGTTATCAAGGGTTATCATTTTATGAATGGGGTGATTTCACTGACTTATAACTTGTATTTCGGGGCATATCTGTGGATCATCGAAGTGACTGTAGCCCAATAGAAATGGTGAAACCATGCCCAATGTCAGGATCAGCGGGGACTGCGCTTCCTTCCACGGTTCCAGCGCGTCTTGGCAGATTTACAGTAAGTCCCAACTGCAGAAAGGAAGCCTGATGGTCGCATCTTTTTCCATTTTTATTGAGGGATTTTTCGATGATTCTGTTGAGAATGAGATAGAATGAGCATATTTCCATTTGGGCTTTAAGTATTAATGTTATGGTGCACCCATACAGCTAAATTGCTTTGCAAATCCACTAACTAGGTTTTATGGTAGGCATATCGAACTTGATATCGTAAATGTTGGTTGGTCACTACCTTGTACAAAGTCAGGATTTTGCCCAAGCTAAAAAAAACAAGGATTGATGACTTTAGTGAAGTTATTAACCCTGCCTGGACCGGACCTCATGGATTATTCCCATAAAATTCGGACGGACATGAACATGAATGTGTCCTCCAAATGTGATAAGCATCATACAAGTGTAGTATGGCCCAATAGCTATGTAGTGTAACCGTATGTGAGAGCAAACTTTTTTTCCCAGCAGCGGCCGTTTCCGTGAGCAAAGAACAATGGCCAGCTACTGCTTTGGTTTCCAGGATGTCATATTTGATGCTTGCCGGATGATCTCTAGGTGTTAAACGGTTCTTTTTGTGTTTGATGTTTGGAACTACTGTATGTCAATGGTCCACTGGAAGCAGCATGTTCCAACCACTTTAGGTACTGTTCTCACACAATCTTACAAACAATGTTGTTTCACGTATTTGCTTTGCTTCCGACCTCTTTCAAGCTATTTATATGCTTCTGAACATGCAAGCTATGTTTTTCCAAACATATGCATATATGTTTTCCGCACATTCCACCACAAAAACAACACATATCCCCACATCTGCCCTTCAGCAAGGCGCAGTGAGACGCCAGTGCCACATTTCGGCATGGCAGAGACTCAGGCTCTGCTTGGTCGAACTGTTTGTCCATGTTTTTGGGGGTTTGTAAATTTTCGAAAAACGCAACGAATCCAATGGTTAGAAGCTCAATAGCAATAAAATTAGATCATGAGATTATATCTAAAAACTGTTTGGTTAAACACAAACACCTACCCCGCATTGGTTGAAATCACAACAATTCCGCTGGTTAGAACATCATTGTACCTATTCTCATGACAATAAATGGGTGGTATATATATATATATACAGTCACCGACAGAATTATGGAAAAAATAAAACGTTTCAATTTACAGGCGCCGCCTGTCTATGATAGAAAAGTTACGAACATTTTTTTTCCCACAACTATTGTTTCCATAATTATTTTTTCCATAATTCTGTCGGTGACTGTATGTCCATCGATTCGCAATTTGAATGCATTTTAAGGGGGAATATTGAATTATAGAAAATATGTGTCTAAAGATCTGGTATATGCCCCTAAGTCTTCCATTGATATACATAATATCATGTGATGTTCGCAATTTGAATGCATTTTAAGGGGGAATATTGAATTATAGAAAATATGTCTCTAAAGATCTGGTATATGCCCCCAAAGCCTGCCATTGATATACATAATATCTGGATGTTTCCTTTTGCCAAGCCACCAATTGGGTTGATACTACATACTTGCATTTGCATACATATTTCCATAACCCCCAAAAAAAACGGGTTTGAATTGTGGATCCATGACATGTCCAACAGGTGGAGCCCCAAACATTAATTATGGAAAAATAATTATGGAAAAACCGGTCAATCTGCCCTAGCCTCCTGATTTCACAGGAAAAATCAATTATGGAAATAATGGCCACCTCCAAGAATTATGGAAACAAAAAGGTTCGGATCACTTCCGAGATATTTTGAACCCTGATGGGGAAAAATTCAATTATGGAAAAATCGGACGCAGGCGCCGCCTGTCTAAGTTGAACGTTCTATTTTTTCCATAATTCTGTCGGTGACAATATATATGATCTTCCAGACAATGATTTTGGAGTAGTGTAGTGAACGGGCAACAAACATTAGAATTTCAGTGGGGTTACTTTATTTTTGTTCGAACCAAACACTATTTATGTGTTTGTTTTGTGTATTTTGATATTCTCCTTTGGTTGGATGATTTCAAACTTGCACTTGTTTGATCTTCCAAGCCATTGCTGAAGCTCTTTGAATCTCCATTTTGCTTCAGCCATTTTTCGGGGATGCACCTGAGAAATGATGTCTGCCATATGGCAGAATTTTGGAGGCTTGCTGTGGCTGGGGGATGGTATTATTCAGAAGCCCCAAATTGCAAATGAACAAACATGGTAATAGAGCCCATTAGGTACGAGTAAACATACAGGCAGGGGCCCATGAATGAGTACAATGGTCATCATTTGTACTATTCTGGATCTGTTTTTTTTGGGCTGATTGTTAAGATTCAATTCGATGGCCCGACAAATTCGGATTGAAATTGAATGGAATTGAACATTCATGTCTCCAGTATCTCAGTTAGAGTCTGGTGACTACGGTGACTACTGGAATCGCAAGCTTAGTTTAAAAATGTTAAAAACAGGAAAACTCTACTTAGGCGACGGGTCCTTGAGTCGAGCCACCTTTCTTTCAGGAATCCGACAAGGCTGAGGAGCCAAAGGAGGCCGGGGTCCCAGTGAGGTAACCTCTGCATATATGGATTTGTCAATGGGGTTGTACCCCCCCAAAAAAAAAACAATTTTGCCAGGGAAAAAACGAAAAAAAACGATGATTTATCAGTTGAATCAGTTGGGTGCCATATTTTTGCACCTACATTCGAAGCTCCTGAAGCTGCTGAAGCTCCTGAAGCTCCTGAAGCTCTGTTAGGGACTAGCAGGGATCATCCAAGGCCAGAAATGACCAGAAATTACATGATCTTTCCATTGGGCCATTTTGGATTGACTGATTGACTCAAAAAAAAGTCACCTGTGTTGGATTACATCCTCAGTCCTTCAGGTTTGGTTCTTGAAATCCTCAGGTTTGGTAAACAGATCCCAAGCCCTGATGGCTTGTTAACATATTCTTTATAGGAAGCCGCCAAAAGATAGCAAAGTAATTCACCACAAATTTCGGAGTATATACACTGTATATACAGTAATAATTGGAGCATTTTGAGTTGATCATGCCATTTTTTGCGCAACAATCGAAACCCATATTAAATCTCGCCACTTTAAAATCTATAAGTCTATAACCATTTACAGATAAACACTCAACATTTCACCGTTCAAATGGTTATCCTCTGCTTAAGCCCATTTCTCGCCTATCATTTCTTTCCCATGGCTGCCCATGGCTACGGCCAAGGCCGACACTGCGGTGGCGCGAGGGGCCTTGGAGCAGCTGGAGGCGTGCAAGAACCAGCCGAGGCTCTAACTTAGTTAGCTGAGTTAGTATATATCTCCACTAACTTAGTTGGTTATAGTAGATAACTAGGCTTTATTGTATGTATGTAATCGTATGTGTATATATATATATGTATCCACCAACTATATCTACTAACTATAACTCGGCTTTATTGTAGATATATCGAACTAGTTGCTATAGTTGATAAAGTATCAATGGCCAACACACAAACTAATGTAAAGTCCATAACTGGCTTATATTATAACATTGAAAATCATGAAAATATGCCTCTTACGACTGTATATCTGGGATCATTTTCTGAAGTCCCAGTTTTTGGTAGGGTACCCAATTTGCAGATGATTGATGATTATATTATTACGGCAAGACCCTGAGGTTTGCCCGGACTCGCAACAAGAGTCCGGGCAAGCCAAGATGACGATGACGATGACGGTGACGATGACGAGGACGAGGACGAGGATGATGATGATGATGGTGATGATGATGATGATGTTGATGTTGGATGTTTGATGTTGTTGTTGATGATGATGATGATGATTGATACTGATTTTGCTCTCTTCTTGAAATTCTACAAGAAACCTTAATGACTGTATGATTAATTGTGATATGTAGAAGCGACATGTTCTGGTTATATGATATGTAGAAGCAACATGTTCTCGTTAACGCCCTAGCAACATAATTGGACATCAGATCCTTCCCGTTGTTTGACGTCGTACAGAAGTCCCTGGTATTTACGTATGGGCTTGGGCAAACCTCGGGGTCTGTGTATTATTATATGGTTTTTGGATGGCCAATTTTAAGACAATGGAATTGTGGCTTTTACTATTGTGATATGGCTAATTAGGGAGCAAAATTGGATTTTATCTAGTAACTCTAATTATGGCTATTATATGTTTGATTCTAGTTGTCTTATTCTAATTTCATCACAATGATTATGGCTGGATTTGTGGCTTTAGACTCGAGAAAATAATGCTTAATAGATTTCGGGTATTCTATTTTTAGACAAGCCCATCCACAGCCAAAAACCCGTTACATTGGTTGAATTGTGCCTTGGTGGTTAAATGCCCTGTCCATTTGGGAGGTATTCCAAGTTGGTCATGCTCAAGCAATAAACATGTTGCCTTAAACAGAAGTTGCATATATATTTTTTGGATACCTAAGGGGCAGTCATCAATTGCCACCTCAGGCACCGGCTTTTCTGGGTCCCAAAAGAGCCTAGCAGAGCGGGGCAGGTTATTTAAGATCTGGATCTGAAAATTAGGTACCCCCAATGGTTTATCAGAGATTGGGATACTATATAATACTGTATATATATATAGAGATAGATAGATATTATAGTATAAAATAAAATATGTATATATATATATATACAATGTACAATACATACATATATATATATATATCATGAATTTCCTTGTTAAAATGGCCATAGCTGCGATGTACACACCGTATTTTCAGACACGCCCATGTGTCATGGTATTAGAGAGGTCATGCGTCCAGTTGTTGATGTCCCCAGCTACGACCTATTATATAGTATAATTCAAGGTCAATCTTGGATGACCACTTTAACATCCAATGGAAGTGGGTTAAGGCAACAGCACACCAAGGTTGTCACACCTCTAAAATCGTTCCCCTCACAAACCCAGCTACGAAGCGCTGTTTTTGGATAGTTTGAACAGTTTTTACGCCCACAAGACCTGGGAATTGGCAGGTTCTCTCCAACATCAGATTGATATACCCTCTGGTTATTTAACATAGCCATGGAGAATGGCCCATAGAAATAGATGGTTTACCTACTAAAAATGGTGATTTTCCATGGCTATCTCAGCCATAACCAGATGGTGGTCCATCATTCCCAGAGGCATATGCCCCAGGTAGCTGCACCACCACTGGGATATGATGGCATATGGTGAGATCATAGCATGGGCATGATATCTCATGGTCGGATTGATATAGGAGAAACATGTGGTATTGTACAGAATGGCCATGGGGTATTAGTGGTTTATTTGTGTTGGGTTATAATGAAGGATATTTCTGAGGAACATTGGTGGCATTATTCCATATGCCATATTTGTGGATGTGCTTGTGACGTTTTTATCCCTTAAACAAAACGGTCCATAATGGTTCAACATGTCTGTACATTGAATTGGATTTCTGTCCAATGTACAATCATGACGGAATATGACAGAAATATGATGAGAACTCGTGGGGAATGATACGCTCCAGTAGATTAACATACACCCTGGCAGACAGGGGTTGAAAGACTAGTTTCCACTAAAAATTTGGTGTTTTCAGGGTCGCACTGTTAATTTACCAGAGGGTAAATGATGGGAAGACAAGGATTTGTTCGGGATTTGTTAGTTGTTTATGTTTTTTTTTGTCAAGTCAAATCCAATGATTTCTGATCGTCCCATCAGTAGAATATGGCGTTTCAAGATAGGTTTTGGTTACTTTCACTACAAGGACTATGTTTTTTTAGTGCAATCTATGATTCCAACTCAAATTCTTTCACCCAATGGTATGATCTACCCAAACGCCCCACATTTTTTTGGTCCCAGAAGTTGTGTTTTTGTTTTGCTTTATAAACTCTATAGATATGTTAATCTACCAGAACACATCGTAAACCCATGGCCCATGGCAAATCCACCTAGGCAAATCAGTTGCAAGGTGGGGTGTAGCTATAATCCAACTCAGCCATCGGTTTTTCCCAAAAGCATCTTCGATGCTTGGGTTCTCGTTTAGTTGTTTAACCGCGTGGGGGAGCGACCTGGCTCGAACGGTGGTGTGCGGACGGCGTGGGTGCAAGGGAAAGGAAAGGAAAGGAAGGGAAAGGAAAGGAAGGGAAAGGAAGGGAAAGGAAGGGAAAGGAAGGGAAAGGAAGGGAAAGGAAGGGAAAGGAAGGGACAGGAAGGGAAAGGAAGGGACAGGAAGGGAAAGGAAGGGAAAGGAAGGGAAACGAAGAGAAAGGAAGGGAAAGGAAGGGAAACGAAAGGAAAGGAAGGGAAAGGAAGGGAAAGGAAGGAAAAAGGAAGGAAAAAGAAGGGAAAGGAAGGGAAAGGAAGGGAAAGGAAGGGAAAGGAAGGGAAAGGAAGGGAAAGGATGGGAAATGAAGGGAAAGGAAGGGACAGGAAGGGAAAGGAAGGGACAGGAAGGGAAAGGAAGGGAAAGGAAGGGAAAGGAAGGGAAAGGATGGGACAGGATGGGAAAGGGAAGGGAAAGGATGGGAAAGGATGGGAAAGGAAGGGAAAGGAAGGGAAAGGATGGGAAAGGAACGGAAAAGGATGGGAAAGGAAGGGAAAGGAAGGGAAAGGATAGGAAAGGAACGGAAAAGGAAGGGAAAGGAATGGAGCGGACGGCTGCCGGCAAATGGGTGCGGAGAACTGCGTGGACGGCTGCGGACGGCGTGGGTGCAACGGAGTGGCTGGAAATGGGTGGGGAGAAGAAGCCGCTGGTGATGAGCGACCTTGGCTGCGCGGACGGCTGCGGACGGCAAATGGGTGCGGAGAACTGCGCGGACGGCTGCGGACGGCGTGGGTGCAAGGGGGTGATGGAAATGGGTGGGGAGAAGAAGCCGCTGGTGATGAGCGACCCTGGCTGCGCGGACGGCTGCGGACGGCAAATGGGTGCGGAGAACTGCGTGGACGGCTGCGGACGGCGTGGGTGCAAGGGGGTGGCTGGAAATGGGTGGGGAGAAGAAGCCGCTGGTGATGAGCGAGCTTGGCTGCGCGGAAGGACGGCTGCAGAACGGCAAATGGGTCGGAGAAACTGGCGGACGGATGCGGACCGGCGTGGGTGCAAGGGGGTGGCTGGAAATGGGTGGGGGAGAAGAAGCCGCTGGTGATGAGCGACCTTGGCTGCGCGGACGGCTGCGGACGGCAAATGGGTGCGGAGAACTGCGCGGACGGCCGCGGACGGCTGCGGACGGCGTGAGTGCCATGGAGTGGCTGGAAATGGGTGGGGAGAAGAAGCCGCTGGTGATGAGCGACCTTGGCTGCGCGGACGGCTGCGGACGGCAAATGGGTTCGGAGAACTGCGCGGACGGCTGCGGACGGCGTGGGTGCAAGGGGGTGGCTGGAAATGGGTGGGGAGAAGAAGCCGCTGGTGATGAGCGACCGTGGCTGCGCGGTCGGCTGCGGACGGCAAATGGGTGCGGAGAACTGCGCGGATGGCTGCGGCCGGCGTGGGTGCAACGGAGTGGCTGGAAATGGGTGGGGAGAAGGGAAAGGAAGGGAAAGGATGGGAAAGGAAGGGACAGGAAGGGAAAGGAAGGGACAGGAATGGAGCGGACGGCTGCCGGCAAATGGGTGCGGAGAACTGTGTGGACGGCTGCGGACGGCGTGGGTGCAACGGAGTGGCTGGAAATGGGTGGGGAGAAGAAGCCGCTGGTGATGAGCGACCTTGGCTGCGCGGACGGCTGCGGGTGGCAAATGGGTGCGGAGAACTGCGCGGACGGCTGCGGACGGCGTGGGTGCAAGGGGGTGGCTGGAAATGGGTGGGGAGACGGAGCCGCTGGTGATCAGCGACCTTGGCTGCGCGGACGGCTGCGGACGGCAAATGGGTGCGGAGAACTGCGTGGACGGCTGCGGACGGCGTGGGTGCAACGGACTGGCTGGAAATGGGTGGGGAGAAGAAGCCGCTGGTGATGAGCGACCTTGGCTGCGCGGACCGCTGCGGACGGCAAATGTGTGCGGAGAACTGCGCGGACGGCTGCGGACGGCGTGGGTGCAAAGGGGTGGCTGGAAATGGGTGGGGAGAAGAAGCCGCTGGTGATGAGCGACCGTGGCTGCGCGGACGGCTGCGGACGGCAAATGGGTGCGGAGAACTGCGCGGACGGCTGTGGACGGCGTGGGTGCAACGGATGGAAATGGGTGGGGAGACGGGAAAGGAAGGAAAAGATGGGAAAGGAAGGGACAGGAAGGGAAAGGAAGGGACAGGTAAGGAAAGGAAGGGAAAGGATGGGAAAGGAAGGAAAAGGGAAGGGAAAGGAAGGGAAAGGAAGGGAAAGGAAGGGAAAGGAAGGGAAAGGAAGGGGAAAGGAAGGGAAAGGAAGGGAAAAGATGGGAAAGGAACGGAAAAGGATGGGAAAGGAAGGGAAAGGAATGGAGCGGACGGCTGCGGACGGCCTGGGTGCAAGGGAGTGGCTGGAAATGGGTGGGGAGAAGAAGCCGCTGGTGATGAGCGAGCTTGGCTGCGCGGACGGCTGCGGACGGAAAATGGGTGCGAAAAACTATACGCGGACGGCTGCGGACGGCGTGGGTAACGGAGTGGCTGGAAATGGGGGGGGAGATGAAGCCGCTGGGGATGAGCGAGCTTGGCTGCTGAGAAGGAGGCGGAAGGGCGAAAGGGGTGCGGAGAAATGAGGCGAGGCTCTTGGCGGAGGAAGCGTGGGTGCGACGGAGTGGCTGGAAATGGGTGGGGGGAAGGGAAAGGAAGGGAAAGGATGGGAAAGGAAGGGACAGGAAGGGAAAGGAAGGGACAGGAAGGGAAAGGAAGGGAAAGGATGGGAAGGGAAGGAAAAGGGAAGGGAAAGGAAGGGAAAGGAAGGGAAAGGAAGGGAAAGGAAGGGAAAGGAAGGGAAAGGAAGGGAAAGGATGGGAAAGGAAGGGACAGGGAAGGGAAAGGAAGGGAAAGGAAGGGAAAGGAAGGAAAAGGAAGGGAAAGGATGGGAAAGGAACGGAAAAGGATGGGAAAGGAAGGGAAAGGAAGGGAAAGGATGGGAAAGGAACGGAAAAGGATGGGAAAGGAAGGGAAAGGAATGGAGCGGACGGCTGCCGGCAAATGGGTGCAGAGAACTGCGTGGACGGCTGCGGACGGCGTGGGTGCAACGGAGTGGCTGGAAACGGGTGGGGAGAAGAAGCCGCTGGTGATGAGCGACCTTGGCTGCGCGGACGGCTGCGGACGGCAAATGGGTGCGGAGAACTGCAGCGCGGAGGTGCAAGGGGGTGGCTGGAAATGGGTGGGGAGAAGAAGCCGCTGGTGATGAGCGACCTTGGCTGCGCGGACGGCTGCGGACGGCAAATGGGTGCGGAGAACTGCGTGGACGGCTGCAGACGGCGTGTGCAACGGAGTGGCTGGAAATGGGTGGGGAGAAGAAGCCGCTGGTGATGAGCGACCTTGGCTGCGCGGACGGCTGCGGACGGCAAATGGGTGCGGAGAACTGCGTGGACGGCTGCGGACTGCGTGGGTGCAACGGAGTGGCTGGAAATGGGTGGGGAGAAGAAGCCGCTGGTGATGAGCGACCTTGGCTGCGCGGACGGCTGCGGACGGCAAATGGGTGCGGAGAACTGCGCGGACGGCTGCGGACGGCGTGGGTGCAAGGGGTGGCTGGAAATGGGTGGGGAGAAGAAGCAGCTGGTGATGAGCGACCTTGGCTGCGCGGACGGCTGCGGACGGCAAATGGGTGCGGAGAACTGCGCGGATGGCTGCGGACGGCGTGGGTGCAACGGAGTAGCTGGAAATGGGTGGGGAGAAGAAGCCGCTGGTGATGAGCGACCTTGGCTGCGCGGACGGCTGCGGACGGCAAATGGGTGCGGAGAACTGCGCGGACGGCTGCGTGGAAATGGGTGGGGAGAAGAATCCGCTGGTGATGAGCGACCTTGGCTGCGCGGACGGCTGCGGACGGCAAATGGGTGCGGAGAACTGCGCGGATGGCTGCGGACGGCGTGGGTGCAACGGAGTGGCTGGAAATGAGTGGGGAGAAGGGAAAGGAAGGGAAAGGATGGGAAAGGAAGGGACAGGAAGGGAAAGGAAGGGACAGGAAGGGAAAGGAAGGAAAAGGAAGGGAAAGGAAGGAAAAGGGAAGGGAAAGGAAGGGAAAGGAAGGGAAAGGAAGGGAAAGGATGGGAAAGGAAGGGAAAGGAAGGGAAAGGATGGGAAAGGAACGGAAAAGGATGGGAAAGGAAGGGAAAGGAAT